ACAGAGACACACACACAGAGACACACATACACAGACACCCACAGACACACACACAAAAAGACACACAGAGAGAGACACACAGAGAGAGAGACACACACACACACACACACACACACACACATATACTGCAAGGTCCCCAAAGCCAGAGATGACATCCTTCCTGGGGGAGCAGGCATGGCTAGCCACATCCTCTCTCATGTGGAATCTAAGGCCCCAGGAGGTCCTCACCCATGTGTTCTTTCATCCAGTAGTTATTGAGGACCTACTATGTGTTGGACAAACAAAAGGGACATACTTTCTTTTTTTAATTTGGTTTTAGAGATAGAGGAAGGGAGAGGATGAGGGAGAGAGATAGAGATAGAGATAGAGATAGAGAGAGAGACAGATAGAGAGAGAGAGGGAGAGAGAGAGGGAGAGAGAGAGAGACGTCTATGTGAAAGAGATCTTGATTAGTTGCCTCCCAGACCAGGGATTGATGGTCCCCTGCTCCAACCATTTCATCTCACCAAAGAGAAAACGAAGGCCCAGAAAGTACAATGATTTGCCCAAAGTCACACAGAGGTACTAGGCAGAGCTAAAACTGATGTGAGTTTTTCAGGAAGGGACTAGAAATTACTGGTGCCGTCTTGCCATGTCCCCATATAGTGACCAAGCTGGGCCAACATCTCACTCAGGGGGAGCCAGTCTCCTGCCTTCCTGAGACATGGCCTGTGCGAGGGAGAGAGCCAAGCACAGTCTCACGGTGCTCGGACCTGACTTCCCTCAGGAGATCTGTGGCTTCGCCTCTCTTGTTTATTGATGAACTCCATGTTCTAAAACTTTCTAGATTATGATTGGCACTCAACACAGATTGGCTAGAGGCCATCGCTTATTTCATGCACCCCAAGGCCACTCAGGAAGTCAGAAGCTTCTTCAGCTGGCCCGCGCTCCTTCAGTGTGATAGCTGGCCTTGCTTCTGTCTGGAAACCCACCCTTCCGGGTGAAAGGTGACTGACTGCCTGGAGCTGGCTGCACCATCAGCTTCAGTGGTTCCCTATGACGCAAGCCTGGTCAACTGGGCATCAACTGCTCTGGTCAAGTGATGGATTCAAGAGCAGTTGTGTGATCCAAGTCAGTCTACCAAGTCTAATTTTAAGGTTTTTGTAGAAATATTAACGAAAAAGAATGTCTTTCTGTGGAACGAGGATATACTTCTAGAGTTTCAGGGGTTGAAGAGAGTCTGGCCTTAGAATGAAGCTGACTGAGAGGGAAGACAGGCAACAGATAGAGAAGAACTGAGATAGGAGACATTGCTTTGGGTACCTGGATCCAGCCATGCCTGAAGCCCATATACCACAGGAGTTTTTAATTCCATGAATCAATAAACTCCCATTTTTGCGTAGGTTAGTTTGGGATTGGTCTTCTGTTATTACAACCAAGTACCTTGACTGACAGATGACATAGGGAGGATTGACAGAAAAGCTTCTTCACATCCCAGCTAGGTGGCTCAGTTGGTGGCAGCATTATCCCATATTCCAAAAGGTTGAAGGTTCAATCCCTCTTTGGGGAGGCAACTGATGGATGTTTCTCTCTCACATCCCTGTTTCTCTCCCTCTCTCCCTTCCTCTTTCTCTAAAACCAGTAAGAAAACATATTCTTGGGTGAGGATTAAAACATCTCTCCTTCCTTCCTTCCTTCCTTCCTTCCTTCCTTCCTTCCTACCTACCTACCTACCTACCTACCTGTTTACTTACCTACCTACCTATAAAGCTTCTTTACTAAGCTCCCTGCCAGATGATCGATCAGTTCTCTACACCTTAAGGCTCCCAACCAGGCCAAACTGCCAGGCAGCTGCAAGACAGCCTTCGCCTCAACCAGTAGTTCCAAGGTCTGTCTGTCTGTCTGTCTGTCTCTCTCTCAACTTAAAAATAAATAAATAAATAAGTAAAATCTAGGATGGGGAAGGACTGATAAACAGGACAGAGTGAAGAGAAGAAACTAACCAGCACTTTCCAACACAAGAACTACAGCGCTGCCTGACTGCTTTGGCTCAGTGGATACAGCGTCGATTCCGGTCAAGGGCATGTACCTTGGTTGCGGGCGCATCCCCAGCGGGGGATGTGCAGGAGGCAGTTGATCGATGTTTCTCTCTCCTCGATGTTTCTAACTTCTCTATCCCTCTCCCTCCCTCTCTGTAAAAAATCAATAAAATATATATTAAAAAAGAAAAAAAAAACTGAAGCGCTGTAGCTGCTGCCATGATGGCTGTGGATGCAGTAATAGTCATGGCTGCCTTCCCGAGTGCTTGCCAAGCGCCAGGTGCTATTCTAAGCACTCGGCGTGTACCATCTCATTTAATCATCACAGCAGCTTTATGAGTGAGGTGCTGTAGCATGCCTATTTCCCTGGGGACGGGCTCGAGGCACAGGGCGTCTGAGCGACTTGCCCACCATCACTCGGCGCTTTGGGAGCCATCACAGGCTCCTGGAGAGGTAGGACTTGGTGACCAGGCACAGCACAACCCCTCTTCTAAGTCATGTGGCCTTGGGGACAATACCCACCTCGCCCAGGACACAGGCCCCTGCACACAGTGTGTGTGTGTATATATATATATATATATATATATATATATATATATATATATGCTCCCCAAAGGGAAGCTGTCACCAAGCAAGCACTGCAGTGGCTACCAAGTTCAAGGCCCTCCACCGGTTTTCATTTATAGGAAAACGAAAGTGTTTTATCTCTAATCCCACCACACGGGCTTCACTCTGCATCCTCCCCTCTGTTGTCCACAGGCATCACGTTCTCACAAAACAAACGTCATTACAATATCATGTCGCACCCTTGCTCGTTTGTGTCATGAGAATCTGCACGCCCTCTCGGCTTTCAGAATCGGCACGCCGGGGCTGCCGATGGGGCTGCTGCGACCCAGGAAGGTGCCGTGACCTCTCCGCGGCAGCGGAGCGGGGCGTGGGCTGGGCCCGAACAAGAACCAGGTGTCCTGACCCGGGAAGCCCTAGCTCCCTGCAGCCCTGGGTGCTTACGGAGCAAGCAGCTCAGCTGTCTGAAGAGTTGCTAGGCAGCTGCTGCTCAGCCAATGACGAAGCACCACGGAGCGGGACCCCAATCCAGCAGCCAGGTATCTAAAGACAGGTGTGTACCTGCGGCCTTGGCGAGTGAGGAAGTATGAATGTGGGGTGGGGTGGGGGTATTTGGAAAAGGGAGGTAGGAACCATCTCCTTCCTTCCTCCCTTCATCCCTCCCTCCCTCTCCTTCTCGCACTGAATCCCTCCTAATCTCTCACCGGCCCAAACCAAGAGGCAGGGAAACTGGAATTGCAATCTGTAATGAGAAGAAAAATACTTCAATGCTAACACGCTGCAGCTTAGCAAATCAGAGAAGGGCGGGGGGGGGGGGGGGGGGGGGCGGAGCGCGGCAACTCAGAATCCACAGAAATCCTTCTAGCTGGGTTGGCTCGGTGGATAGAGCATCAGTCTGTGGACTGAAGGGTCCTGGGTTCGATTGCAGTCAAGGGCACATCCCCAGTAGCAAGTGTGCAGGAGGCAGACAATCAATGATTCTCTCTCATCATTGATGTTTCTAGCTCTCTCCCTCTCCCTTCCTCTCTGAAACCAATAAAAACAAAACAGAATCCACAGAAACCCACAGGCATCAGCATCCTGCCATCCCCCATGGCCCTCCTCCCTCCCTCTTCCCTGCTTTTGGGGGTGATGTTCAGTCTAGCTTCTCCTCTCTCCTTCCCCAGCCTCCAGCACAAAGCAACCGCAGCCAGGGGCAAGGAGGGGCTGGGAGCGGCACCCTGTCCTCCACCCCTGGACCTCAAGGGTGGGAGCGCTGTCTGGGACGAATCTAAACGAAACTTCCCAGCAGAGGTCCCGACGGCAGAACCCAAAGTACCTTTAAGAAAGCATAAGGGAGGTGTCCTTCCCCCAACACCCTGCCCCCCCACTCAAACCACTGGTTCCCCATTTAAACTGGGCAGCAAAGGCTTATCTCAGGCACCACCGGCAACACCCCTTCCCGCCCATTCGCTTCCTACCCTGTGTCCCAGCCACCAAGATGTGGGCCTCCCAGCGCCCCCCCCCCCCCCCCCGGTCTCCTTAGGGGACAATCCTCCTCTCCCCTTAAATTTGCAATTAGCGTGTTTCTCCCACTGCCATCTCGCCACTATTTACAGAAGCCAACAGGATAAAAACAGACAACATAAAAATAGTTTCCTGGCAGTTTTCAAGATGGGGAGGGGAGGAGGGGGGGACCACAGATGCTTGGAATTTTCTTTCTCTCCTTTTCAAGATGGAAAAATGCTGGAATCCGTTATCCCTTCCAAAGCACTCCCCAGCAGTTCAGGCCACGCACCTGGGAGCCCCCGCCTCCCTCAGGTCCCAGGGCAGTGCTTGTTGGCTGGTTCAGTGAAAGCTCACCAGGGTTTCGGCGCCAGTGCCCCATCCTGCCCTCTTTCCACCAACTCCGGAGCCTCCTTCCGGCCCTCCGAAAACACGAGCCAGTCAACGACCCAAAACGCTGGCTTTTCTCTGCGCTTACAACGTCTCATAATGAAAGTTTAAAGAAAAAGTCCATCGGCAGCACTACAAACACGCTGAAAGTGAAAACATCGGTGTCGAAAATCATTCCTTCCTCATTTTGGTCACTAACATCACCCAGCAGGGAATGCCAGAGCAGGAGGTGGGTCTTCCCCGCGGAGACTCACCCACTCACCTCCTTTTAAATATGACTCCCCCCCCCCCCCCCCCCCCCCCCGTTTTGTTGAGGAAGGGATCTGCTCAAGGAAAAAAACTACTCATTCAAACTCATTTTTTTCAAAGAGCAAAACCATTGGGAAATGATTTCTATGCCTAACTTGCTGGAGGAGACCGTGAGAAAATGGGCAACCTTCGCCAGCATGACCAGGTCAAGAGAGCCTGTCAGGAAACCATCCTGGTCCCCGGGGACCTGAGCCCTGATTTTCTCATCTGTAAAACGGAGCCAGGGCGGCCTACCTGGAGGGTAGCTGTCCGGTCGACCTTCTATATCAGCCGTGGGGAACGTCTGGCCCCGCACACCATTGGTCCGGCCCTGCCGAGGCAGTAGAGGTGAGTTAATTAAACGTTCGACCAAACATAGCAGACTAGCCTTTAAGTTGATAATTTTGTATGACCCGCAAATGATGTTATAAATATCCAAATGGCCCTTGGCAGGAAAAAAGTTCCCCACCCCTGTTCTATATGAAAGTGCCAGCCAAAACCGGTTTGGCTCAGTGGATAGAGCGTCGGCCTGTGGACTGGAGGGTCCCAGGTTCGATTCCGGCCAAGTGCACATGCTTGGGTTGTGGGCTAGATCCCCAATAGGGGGGGGGGGGTGCAGGAGGCAGCCAATCAATGATTCTCTCTCATCATTGATGTTTCTATCTCTCCCTTCCTCTCTGAAATCAATGAATACATTTTTTTAAATATTAAAAAAACAAACAAACCTGATTCCAAATTCTTTCTTCTATCAACCTCTCCCTGCAAATGGAATGACAAAATGAATGGAGAAACAAAATGTGGTCTATCTGCACGCAGGGGTGTTGCTCAGCCATAAAAAGAAAGCACTGAGATAGTCTACGACTTGTAGAACCTTGAAAATATGATGCTCCAGGAAAGAAGCCAGACACAAGAGGCCCCATGTTATTATCAGGTCAGTGGGGTAACAAGCACAGCCCAAAAGAAGAAAAGCCCATCCCGTCAGGAAATGTGCTCAACTTCCAGGAAAGAAGGCACAGACACGCGGGCAAGGACTCCTGCCGCCTGGGGAGTCCGGCCTCTCTAACCCGGGCCGAAGAGAGGAGCTATTGGGAAAGCAAAACAGCTGCAGAAACAGCAGCAACACAAGGCCCTCTGGCCCAAAGGAAAACCTGAAAAAGCGTTTGCCCCACTTCTCCTGGATCGGAAAGGGACATGGGAACCACAGGCTACCCTTAGCCACAAGAAGAAGACATGCCAGGGAGGTCACCACTGACCCCAAACAAGTCACCGAGCTTCACCGAACCCCTCCATGAAATGGGTTCGTGGTGGGATACAGGAACCTCTGGGGTCCATGTTAAAATCTGAGTTCAAATGCCAAGAAAATAGGCCTGTCCCACCCCACCTGGCCCATCCATCCCTTCCTCCTGCGGAAGGTGCCTCCCCATCACCCAGCCCAGAAAGGAGACAATGGCAGAAAGTTTTCCTAGGGGCTGCGTCATGCTGTCCTATCTCCCTCTCCTCCTCCTCCCATCCAAACTCCACTCTTTTTTTCTTTTTCTTTTATTTTATATATTCTATTGATTTTTTTACAGAGAGGAAGAGAGGGGGATAGAGAGTTAGAAACATAGATGAGAGAGAATCAACGACCAGCTGCCTCCTGCATATCTCCCAATGGGGATGTGCCCACAACCAAGGTGCATGCCCTTGACCAGAATCAAAACCAGGACCCTTCAGTCTGCAGGACGATGCTGGATCCACCGAGCCAAACCGGTTTCGGCCAAACTCCACTCTTTAGCCCGTCCTTCAAGACTCTGCACTAATGACACCTCCTTCAGGGAGCCTCCTGGACTGACACCAGACAGAAGGGATTTCCCCAGAACCCCACTGCCCTCTGCTCCCTTCATTCCCGCAACACGTATTCCTCCAGGAATTTCTCAACGGGGATACTCCTGGTGTTTAAGGCAGGGCAATTCTTCATGTCTGCCAAAGCTCTGGCTGCTTGGAGGACATTTGGCATCCCTGGTTCCTGCTCCCAAAAGCCAGGAGTGCTCAGCATCATTTTGAAACCAAAAAATCGCACCACACTTTCTCAATTCCTGGCCAGGAAGTTGGGACCAGCTCTGATGAGACCTGCAGTTATTAGTAAACTAGAGGCCCAGTGCACGAATTCATGCACCAGTGGGGTCCCTCGGCCTGGCCTGCAGGGATACGGCTGAAACTGGCAGTCGGACATCCCCTGAGGGGTCCCGGAGCGGGAGAGGGCACTCTGCAAAGTTGCTATTGCTTGGCAGCCCCTGTGTTGAGTGTCTGCCCCTTGGTGGTCAGTGCACATCATAGTTTCTGGCCAGTCTGCCGGTCACTTAGGCTTTTATAAACATAGATATATTTGGCTACCAGACCATTAACAACCTGGGGGGGGGGAGACAAGCCTAAGCTGATTGATCAGCATCATCACCAAGCCTGCTTGGATCTGTGTCCTCACAGGCTAGTTTGGTAAACAAATCTGCACTCTTCAAGAAGCTGAGGGTGGCTTCGCAAGAGTCCCTGCTCTAGAACCGGTGATCAGTGCAAAGGCTCCAGGACCTGACGTATCTGGGTTCACTGTGTAACCCCGGGCAAGTTACTTAGGCTCTCTGAGCCCCTCCATAAATGGGGCTGCCTCCTAGCAACACTGCAGGATTCTTTCAAGCCTCCATCTTCTCGTCTCTACAATGGGGATAAAAATCTCAAGCCTCATGGGATATTTTTAGACATGAAATGAGATCATGCAAATAACACACAGCAGAGTACTTAGGAGCTCATCCAATGCTGGCCATTTTTTTTATTTTTTATTTTAAAAATGTGTCGTGTGTGCTCTCTGCAAATGGCTGCTTTCTCTATAGAAAGGGCTTAGGAAAGCAATCTAAATGGAGGGTCCAGGCTCAGCAAGAAGCTGCATTTGCATAGTACGGACACTGTTTATTCTTAAACTGCATGTTTTTGTGGGGTGGCTTGGAGAAGGGGTCTAGCTCTCCCAAAGACCCCCCCTAGCTGCCCTCCCACTCGCCCCCTCCCCAATGGCCCTGCCTCCCGCTAGGAACCAGGATGCCTGTGAGGACGCAGAGCTATCCCTGTCTTCGCTGGAGGGCAAGCATAGCCAGGAGAGGGGAGGAGTCAGTGACTGCACCGCTCTAGGGCACAGAAGTTTCTATCCCTAGGCCGGTGGGGACTACCAGGCTGAGGAAGGCAAAAGTTGCCTCCAAGGAGGTGAAGGAGGTGGACACTGCACCCCTCCCCCCCAGGCCAGCTTGCTGACACACTGAGCTTCCGCCCACCCAAACTCCACCCCCTGCCCCAACCTTAGGGGGGGGGGGGGACCTAGGAGTGGCTGAAGTGCATCCTCTTCGGCAACAACTGAGAGCAGCAGCAGCCAGTATGGTGGCTGGCAAAGATGTAAAAGCACCCTCCTCCTCAAACCAGGCGGTGCAGGAGATGGGGAGCCAGGAAAAGGTCAAGGCTGGAGCGGGTGGCCACCCAGGCATCCAGACCCAGTGTTGAGGGCTGCGCCCGGCATCCCCGCGGCGTCCTCAGAGGCGGGCAGAGGATGCCGGTGAAGGCAGGCGCCTCTCTGCCCGCACAGCCAGCGTGCTGCTGCGGCCCCGAGGTGAATTTAGGTCAAAAGGACCAAGGCGGCGAGGTTCCAGCCTGGAGACTTGGGGAGGGGGGCGGGGACAAAGGACCGACAGAGAGGCAACGCAACTGCTAGCCTAGGGTCGTGCTGCAGGGCGTCCAACTTCCCAGGGCGGGCGTCTGCCCCCAGGACTAGCGGGGTGCGGGGGTGGGGAGCTCCCGTTCCGTGGGCCCTCTCCGCCCCGCGCGCTCCGGCTGCCCCCACCTGTCAAACGCGAGGCGGTGGGCCTTCGGGTGCCTGCCTCGGGCCCCCGGTGGGGACCTCGCTTCCAAACTCCGGGACCGCCCCTGCTACCCCGGGCAGGGCGCTGTCCCGCCGCCCAGAGGCCGCCCCGAGGCCCCGGCGCTCCGAGGATGCGGAGGAAGGGGCGCGGGGCACCTCGCCCCCACGTGGCGGGGCGTGAGACCGCGCACGTGGGGTCCCCTTCGTGGAGGAGGGGGCCTGGGGCCGACCTCCTCGGGGCTTTGTCTGCAAACCCCGGCAGGGGATGCCCCGCCCCGAGGCCGAGGGCGCCGAGGGGGCCGGGGCTGCAGCCGCTGCGCCCCCCGCTCGCTCCCGGGCTCCCGCCGGCTCACCTGGGCTCCGCGCCGCCGCCAAGGCCGCCGCCGCCGCCGCCGCCTCCCGCGCTCCGCACCCGGGCTCGGCGGGCTCCGCTCCGCTCTGCGCGGCTCCGCGGCGCGCGGGGGGCGGGGGCGGGAGGAGCCGCCCGGGCCCTGCTCGGGCGACGCCGCCCCGGGCTGCGCGGGGATTGGCCGCGGCCGCTGGGAACCCGCCCGCGCCCGCCGCTCCCTCCGGCGCGTCCCCGCCGCTCGGCCCGGCGCGGGGGAGGGCGAGGGGCGGGAGCCCGCAGAGACCAGAGTAGCAGCGAGGCGAGGCGGAGAGAAGAGAAAAGGGGAGGCGGACGGGGTGGGAGGAGGAGGGCGGGAGACACCCGCTGGGGGGCGAGCGCGGGAGGAGGCCACGCTGCAACTTGGGCCCCGCCCGCCGCGCGCACCTGCCCCGTTCTCCCCGCGGCGGCCACGGCACCCACCCTCCGGGAGGCTGGTTTAGTTTTGTTTAGCCACACTCGCCAACGGCAGGGTGGCGGCTGAGCCTCGGAAAGTTTCCCCCCCGAGGCTGCGGGACACCCATTTGGGGGAACCCCCTTCCACACCCACCTCCCCTCCTCCACCACCACCTCCTCCGTCACTGCTCAGGGCCCGCCCTAAATGCTGGGGGATCGGGGACCTTCCCCCGCCCCCCACTCCACCTGGATATACCAAACTACACGAAACCAATGAAGTCTGGCTTCTCCCGAAGGCTGTTTTAGATGCTTTATACGGAAAACATTCTTCCCAAACGGCCACCCCTTTCAGCGTCCCGCTTTCCTGAGCCTTCATAAGTGTGTGTTTAGGTTTCCAGCTGGGTTTCAGCGCTGCCAGGGGAGGGGAGGGGAGGGGAAGATATCAACGACTGCCAGACCGGGCGCCCGCCTTGGGAAGTTGGGGAAACCCCAGTCCTGAACCAAGAGTTACCCAGGGCGTGTCTCACGGGCCCTGCCAAGCAACCAAAAGGGGAATCAAGAGTTTAAAAGGGAGTCCAGCCAAATTAATGAAAGGTTCAAAGTCCTCTTGCCAACTGAGTGGATTTGCAGGTCTGGTATTTCCAGGCTCCCCGGGCGCTTACAAACAATCTAGAGAGCGTTCCCATGAGATGAGCACCCCTCCTGATGTTTTTGGCATGCAAGCATTTGTTGGGAATAGAAAAGACCCGGGGGGCCCGGGAGCTGGCTCAGTGGTTGACCTATGAACCAGGAGTTCAAGGCTGGGTTCCCCTTCAGGGCATATGCTGGATCCCCAGTGTGTGTGTGTGTGTGTGTGTGTGTGTGTGTGTGTAGGAGGCAGCCTATCAATCATTGATGTTTCCCTCATCATTGATGTTTCTATCTCTCCCTCTCCTTTCCTCTCTGAAATTATATATATATATATATATATATATATATATATATATATATATTTATATGTTTATATGTTTATACACACACACACACACACACACACAGAGACAGAGACAGAGACAGAGACAGACCTGGGAACAACCATCCTAACAGATCATCAGGGGAATAGATCAGCGAAACGTGTCATAGTCATTTGATGAATGTTGTAAAGTTTTATGCCTTTTACTTATAAATGGATTTGAAGCAAATAGCAAAAATGTTGTCAACTCTGAATGGTGAATGAATAATTCTGTATTTTTCTATTTTCTTCTCCCAAAATATGTATTGGGGCTGACAGGGAGTATTCTGAATATGTCTAACTTTGTGACAGAGATCAGCAAACTTTTTCTGTAAAGGGCCAGCAAATAGTTTAGGCTTTGCAGACCATGTGTCTGTTGGCAGAAACTCAGCCATTCTAGCAGCCCTGGACAAAAGAAAATGACTGTGTGTGGCTGTGTCCCAATGAAACTTTATTTATAACATTGAAAGTAGAATTTCACATAATTTTCAGATCACAAAATATTGTTTTTTCTTCAAACACTTAAAAAGTATAAACTCTTCTGAGCTAATAGGCCCTATGAAAACTTATTGCACGCCACATTTGGCCTATGGGCAATAGCTTGGCATCCCCTGCTTTACTAAAGAAACCAAAAGAGATACCGTTTGATGCCTTTTTCTGTTACATGTTAAAATATACAATTCTGTATATTTACATCATGTTACTGAATTGCCTGTGTTTTATTAAACTAGCAAACAGGCAGGAACTTAGTTATACTATCATAGTACGTATAGCTGTGAAAGTTAGAAGCCAATTATGTGAGAAAGGTAAAAATAAATAAATAAAAGAGTCCATTCAAATATAAACTCTAGCTCAAAATTGACTTATTTCTGGAAGAATTTCCTTAAATGCTGTGACCCAGGCCCTCCTTGTCCTCTCTCCTCTCTGATCTCCTAAAGCAAGGACTGTACCATTTATTTGATGCTCAACTACCGTCATGATTCTTTACTTTTTAAAAATATATATATATATTTTTATTGATTTCAGAGAGGAAAAAACAGGGAGAGATAGAAACATCAATGATGAGAGAGAATCATTGATCAGCTGTCTCCTGCAATCCCCACACTGGGGATCGAGCCTGCAAACCGGGCATGTACCCTGACTGGGAAATGAACTGTGACCTCCTGGTTCATAGGTTGACGCTCAACCACTGTGCTACGCTGGCTGGGCTACTGTTTACTTTTCACTAATGCATCTGACTTGCCAATAGAGCTATAAATTCCTGGAATATAAATAGGTACTACAGCTGATTCATTTGTTTACATTCAGCTTTGTGGTTGAAAACAGTATGGAGTCATGCAGACCTAGTTCAAATCCCAGCTTTGATAGTTATCAGCTCTGTGGCCTTTGGACACGTGACTTTGGTTTCATCAGCTGTCAAACGGGGATAATAAACCTAGGGCACAGGCTGGACTTGGGGTGTAAATCAATTGTTCGAGTAAAGACCATAGCTCAGTGCCTGGCATATAAACACTCAAAGGCATTTGGCAAAGAGCAAAAGCCCCATCAACCATGTGCCTTTCTTATTAAAGTGAATTAGAACAACTGGCAGGGAACATCACCAGGGTCTTTCACTGACATTCAGCCCCTCTTGTGATAAGAATCATCCCAGTCAAAAATCATATTCTTCTGAGCAACAGAAAAATAAGAATTGGCTTTCCTTTTTGAGGCTTCCCCTCCAGGAACACCAGAAAAAAACACACAAAAAAAACAAAACAAAACTATGCTAGGCAAACAGAGCTTATTGTCTTGACAACAGAGTGCCAAGAAAATAAGTAATCAAAGCATCAGAATCTTAAGAAAACTTGGATAGTTACAGAGGAGATGCTGAAAATTAAGACTTTAAAAAGAGCTCACCCGTTAGGACACAGCTCCTGCCAAGGCTCTGTCCTCTGCTTCCTGAACTGTTCGGGATTCTCCTCGTGTTGTTCACGGAAGGTTCCACCTCCCAAACCTTGAACATCCAGGTGGAGACATCAGGATTAATCACACCATCATTCACTGAATTCTTCCCCAGTCAACAGGACAATAGAAAAATGCTGGCCAAAAAGAAAAAGAAAGAAAGAAAGAAAAAACCCTGAGAAGTCTGAATCCAGCAGGCAATGAGGTTGGTATGTTTTAGTCCCAGACACAAACAACAGTATAAAAGGGGAAGTCAGCGGAGGCATAGATGAAGTTCTTCATTTGTCTTAGGTGTGCTATGAGAAAGAACAAAATCAGTGTAGCCACCGAAAACATCAGGACAGGTTTAAGACACTTTGAACCAGTAGAAAGGCTCAGGATATGAAGGTGAACACCAAGGAGGGCTGGCCTACACTGAGTACTAGATAAACAACTGATATTCATTATGTGTTCAACAAACTGATAAAGAATGTTCTCAGAACCAGTGCAGTACTCCCAACTCTGGCAATAGGCAGCCCTAGGCCAGTGGTCGGCAAACTCATCCGTCAACAGAGCCAAATATCAACAGGACAACGATTGAAATTTCTTTTGAGACCCAAATTTTTTTAAACTTCTTCTAACACCATTTCTTCAAAATAGACTCGCCCAGGCCGTGGTATTTTGTGGAAAAGCCACACTCAAGGGGCCAAAGAGCCACATGTGGCTTGCAAGCCACAGTTTGCAAACCGCTGCTCTAGGGTAATGCACCCACTAGGCTGGCTTCTCAGCTCTGGAACCTACTAGCTGTGTGACCTTGGGAGAGCCACTGACTTAACCTCCTGATGCCTCAGTCCATATCTGTTAACTGGGGCTCATTGCTATTGCTTACTTTTTAGGACTGCAGTGAAGATTAAATGTGGTGATATACATAGTAACTTACTGTAAGTGTCAAGGTATTTGTTCCCACTGCCCCAAATCTGCTGGGTAGAAATCCCACCACACTGAGCCACTGGGTCTGGCCACACCTTTCTTCTCTTCCCCTTTGAGAATACATCCTAAGATCTCTTATAAACCAAATGCCCACTGGCTACTTAGCTGCAATTTCCTCCTCACCAAATCCTTTCCCCCATTTAACCAAATCATCAGTTTTTATACCCCTAATTATACCAGTCTGACTTACTTCCCCCACTGGGAAAAAATAAACAAAAACAAAACAATTAGCTGTAACCCAGACATGTTCTGAGTTTGGGGATCACCGATGTCTCCAACTTTCCTTTTAACCCACGGTAGGCCCTGACAACAAATCTAAGTCACAGATGTCAGGGAGCCATGGCCTCTTGATATTAGCTTTGGGTTCCATCCTGCCAGGATGAACGAGCAATCCGAGAGCAGAGTCGGGCATGCAAACTGCATTTGCACAGGGCTCTTTGCCTGAAGGACCCTTTGCATTCTGTATGAAGGCTCTGCATAATAGATAGGCCTTGTATGTTTACTTTGCACCTGGCCCCAAGAAGGATGTAGCCAGTCCTGGTCAGGTTGGCTGAATACCTGAAGGGTCAGCTGAGCAACCTTGCCCCACCTTCTTACACTGAGGCAGAGGGATTAAGATCATTTCTTAGACTGGGAGGATCTAATCAATGTTTAAATACATTGAATGTATTGGGAAGAATAAAATGAAACTGATAGAGTTATGGTAACCTCTGGGGAGGAGGAATTGTTTTACTATACAGTCTTTAAGAATATTTCATTTTTACCCTCTATATATGTAACCTTTCAAATTTAAGGAAAGACTTTTAAATACCAACATACCAATTAATGTCTCTGTCTCCACATTGAATCTTGTTTCCAGAGCAGCCATGTTTGGCCAGCAAATACACTCTAGTGAGTGGGAGTCATTTTGCTCTGCTGCAGAGAGCTTTGGAGATCAATTATTTCCCATCGGAAGGTTTAAATTGAACAGAGAAAGAGCCAATGATAGAAGCTGCAAAATTTGGTTGGTGTCTTATTGCTGTTTTGGACTTGAAACGGGTTTTTTCTGTGAACACTCAAGGATAGCAAGTTCATGAACAGAAAGAGCAATGACCAGCATCTGCTTAATTGCAGGGTTGAGTAAATTAGATGCGTTATGTGTTTGAGTAATGGCATCTACCCAGCTCTGAGTTTCAGATGCTTTCTTAATTTATAATCACCTTATTCATGACGAATTCCTAGACTTAAGTTCTCACCGTCCCTCATATATAGTTACTAGAGGCCTGGTGCATGAAAATTCATGCACTGGAGGGGGAGGGTCTCTCAGCCTGGCCTGTCCCCTCTCACAATCCAGGAGTCCTCAGTGGTGGGAAGCAACCCGGCAATCAAGGGAAGGCAACACCCCATCACACCTCCACTGCTGCCACTGCTGGCAGCACAAGTCTGGGCTGGCCCTGGTTACCTGAGCCTTGGGTAGCTCTGGGTGGCTGGGCAGCTGCCATTCAAGGCTTGCCTGCACCTCGGGCCAGCCCTGAGCAGCTGGGGGGCTGAGGGGATTGGGTGCCACCATCATTGAGGGCATGGCAGTCAATCAGCATATTCCCTCTTTATTGGCTGTGGGCATTGCCACTTTGAGGACAGGGCAGTCAATTAGCATATTCCCAGGCAGAAGATATAAAAAAGCCAACACCAAGAGAGTGAATGAAATATGCTTGTTATTGGTCCAAAAACTATAAATACATCTTTTCCTTCCTAACTCCAGTCAGGGAACAACATGTACTCACAAGCACATAGGGGCCCACAAAAGCACCATTCGATCCTACAAAGCAGGGACGCTTAAGAAAGAAATTCAAGCAACAGAAACACCTGTTTTGACCTCCTTACGAGATCTACCAATATCCAAAAAGGGTTTTGCCTGAGCAAATGTGTAAACAAATGTACATAATGGTGGAGAGATAGCACCATTTCTAGTAAGATATTGGAAATTCTGCCCAGAAAGAACATAATCTTTAACACTTACATTAATAGGTGTTTATTAACAAAAAGTTGATGATGTCTTTGCTACCAGAAGGAAAAGGGTGAACAAAACAAATATGAATATTCTAGCAGCAAAATAGAAGTGCAGGAGGCAGCGGATCAATGATTCTCTCATCATCAATGTTTCTCTCTCTCTCCCTCTGAAATTAGAAAATATATACTAAAACACACACACACACACACACACACACACACACACACACTCACACACACACAACGTCATTTATGTGGAGGGAGTGTAAACGAGTCCGAAATCTTGTTCTCTGCATCATGGCCCCGCAGGGGCTTTTCACTAGAGATGATCTATCAAGGGCACGCCGTGAGCGGGCAGTTCCTGATGCAGCTGCCGGAAGAGCATCGCGCAGCGGTTCCTCTCCTGGGTCTTCCCCAGAGTGTGGTAGAGACGGGCCTGGAAGTAAACGACATCTCTGATTCGCTCTTTGCAGTCGACCTTTGCAAAATAGTTCTTCGCTTCATTGAGGTTCTCGATAGCGGCCTCCAGAGCTGGTGGAAAAGGGGGGAAATAACACACCTATTTAACTCAACACTTCACATCGTTTCCAAAACTTAATATCTACTTTTATTGATTTAACAAATACCAGATACTTTTTTAAAAATGTTAAATTTTTGTGCTTATTAGCTCTCAAACACATATTTATCTTTTATTTTTCAATTACAGTTTACTTTCAGTATTATTTTGTATTGGCTTCAGGTGTACAGCATAGTGATTAGACAATCATCTACTTTGCCCAGTGTTCCCCCTGATATTTCCAGTACCCATGTGGCACCAAACTTGGTTATCGCAATGTCAGTGACTATATTCCCTATGCTGTACAGATACTTCTATATTCAACTCTCTGAGGAGGGAAAAAACCACTAGAGTCAGGTTTTATAAAGGGTTTTTAGTCTTTACTTCCTGCCGGTGCCTAATTCTACAGGGTAAATAGCCACTCATTTGCCTTCAGCTTTCATGACAAAGATTCATGTGAAAGGGCTTTAACTGCTGCCTGGAATTTTAACATAAAGTTATGAACACTTAAATACTGTCCCAAATTTAATGTCTTTCCTTTTCCAGGTCCTATATTTTAGAAGTTTTCTGCAATAGCATTGCCTAACAACCTTTGTACGGCCTCCTACCTTCCGTTTTGTTCGGTGGATCACAGGAAGCTGCTGAGGCCACCTGGCACTTGGCCAACAAGAACATGGCGCGGCCTTTGTCCAGAACGGCTCCGTCGGCCAGGATGGGCTCAATGGCCATGTGGAGAAGACTCAAGGCCTGTTCTGGGATTCCAAGGATGAGCTGAAAGAGAAACGTCATGGCACTGTACCCACAGGCGCTACCCTCTCCAGGGAGGGCTTCCTTTCTGGTCCTTCTCTCCTGAGGCCATGTCTGGCTTAGCTTCTCCCTGACATGTACTACATTTAATGTGGACCATCCTCTTAGAAAACATGGGTGTGACAATCTGATTTCAGACGACAACAGATAGAGCAGGGAGTAGTTATTCACACTGTGGGAAAGTTTTGTCTTCACAAAAGGATTCAACACCAAAATCCTTTAGATTGGTGATTCCAAAAGATTGAATTGGCTGTATTAGGATCACTGGAGGAAGAGGAGACACTAAGAAACTATCTCAAAAGTATATTATAAAAGAAACAACAGGGAATTGAAATGATATGCTAGAAAACATCTATTTAACACAAAAGAAAGCAGTAATGGTGGATCTGAGGAACAAAAAAGATGTAAGACATATAGGAAAAAAATAGCAAAATAAAATAAGACCATTCTCATGCATAATTATGTTAAATTAAATGAATTAAACTTTTCAATTAAGAGAAAGAGTGACAGGATAGATTTAAAAGAATGTAATCTTATGATTACAGGAGAAAAAATCCTCAACAAATATTAGCAAACCAAATCCAGCAGCATATTAAAAGAATTGTACACTACAACAACCATCTGGGATTTATCCCAGAAATCCAACAGTAGCTCAATAAAAAATAAAAAAATAATCGATCAAGTTAAACTGAATTGTTATATTTTGCAATTCTACTCTTAAGTATACCCAGGAGAAATAAAACAATATCTACACAAAAACCTGTACCTAAATGTTGAGATCAGCTATTTTTAATAGCCAAATGGTGAAACAACCCAATGGTCCATCAACTGATGAATAAATGAAACATGTATACATCCAATAGAATATGATTTAGCTGTTAAAAGGGATGCAATACATGCTACAACATAAATGAACCTTGAAAAGATTATACTAAATCAAGAATCCAGACACAAAAGGCCAGATATTATATGATTCCATTACATGAAATACACAGAATAAGCAAATAGAGACAGACAGACGGAGCTGTCCTGATTCATAGGTCAACGCTCAACCTCTGAGCCACACCAACTGGCATGAACTTTATCTTAAGAAAAAAGTATTCAGTCTATAAATATTAAAAGCCCACTGTAAGTGTAGGTCCTACTAGGTACCATGGGATACAGCAGGGAAAAGACAATTGTCCCTTCTCTCATATCCTTTCCATTCTACAAAGGGAGATAGAAAACATACATTAAAAAAAATTTTCATTTACAAAACCTTTCAATGAACACATAACTCCCTCACTTCTTTATTCTACTCATCCCCCTGTTAAATGAAGCACAGCTCTGGGCCAGCTACCCATTGATCTGAGGCTCATGTCCTCAATGAGGAGGCGAGTCCCCTTTACTAAATAGCAGCCAGTGCCACTGGGAGATGTCAGCCTGTCACCAAGTTCACAGCTCCAGATTTCCGTGAAGGGCCTGCCATGGAGACTGCATTCCCAGACTTCAATAGTGAGAAGTGAAAGCTCATTATCATCCTTTTCAAAACCAAAAAGTAGTACCAGATTTGCCAGTTCTTGAGTACAAATATGTGCTAAAACAAACGAAAACAAAACTAAGCACAGAGATCAGCTTACCTGGGCAAAAGCCAAGTTCAACACTGTTTCAGAGGCCAAGTACTGTAGTCGGTACTCCTTGGAGAGGGCCAGGGCCTGCAGGAGCACAGGCAGTGCAATGGTAGGGGAGGAAGATCGCAAATACAGCTCTGCCACCGACAGCAGGACACTGCCCACAAACAGGAGGACATGGATGAGAATTTGCATCACAAGGCACCATCTGTGAGATGCACAAGAGGCCCCCCTCTTACCTGATCACCATTTCTGTGTTCCTCATTTTCTGACAATGAATCAATAATTTCTGTAAAAGCTTGTGTGCCTCTGTCATTTGATTCTGAGCCTGCAGTACAACTGCTTTTCTGCACAAGCAAAATAAACATAAGTGGTTATGTTGATGTTTTGCAAGGGTTATAAGTATAGTCTCTTTCAGGGTTAGAATCTCTATTTCCTCAATTACAATGTAACTGAACCCCCAAAGGGAAGAACTGTGTCTAACATATTTTTTGTTAAAAGGGGGAAAAGATTGTGTTTATAAGAATAGATGTGTACATGCACGCACGCACACACACAGTCTGGAACTACAGATGTCACAATGTTGGTGATTATCTCTGGGTGGTACTGATTTTCTCCCTTCTGCTTATCCGTAGTTTCTCATTTCCTGTAATAAATATGTAATAAGCAGAAAAAAGTTTTTTTTCTGCCCTGGCTGAGTGGCTCAGTAGTTTGGAGCATCATCCTGTATACTATTGATCCCAGGTCGGGGCATGTATGGGAGGCAACCAATGTTTGTCTCTCTTTCTCTTTTTATCCGCTACTAAGCCCCTTCCTCTCTCTAAATATATCCTCGGTGAGATGAGAAATTTTTTAAAAAAGAAAGGTTTGCCGAAACCGGTTTGGCTCAGTGGATAGAGCATCGGCCTGCGGACTGAAAGGTCCCAGGTTCGATTCTGGTCAAGGGCATGTACATTGATTGCGGGCACATCCCCAGTGGGGGATATGCAGGAGGCAGCTGGTTTCTCTCTCATCAATGTTTCTAGCTCTCTAACCCTCTCCCTTCCTCTCTGTGGAAAATCAACAAAATATATTAAAAAAAAAAAAAAAAAGTTTTTCCTAAGCTAAAGTTGATAAATTAATTCACATACAAAACATATAAGAATAAAGCCAATTGAGAATGAATTCATTCTGTGTTGGAGTTCTCCACGTTTCTTACCTATATACACCCTCAGTGCTATGAAGAGCAGTGATTCCTGTAACAAGTGAATCGGCCAAGTGATATTTGCCATCATGCATTGCTCTGTCAAACTGTATTTTCTGATCACATAGCATCCATAGCTAATAAGAAAAAAATATAATTAGGGACAAATGGCAAGTGTTCACCTAATTATTCAACAGAGATAGAAAAGTATTTGGGTTAGCTTAGCAAATATCCTTACAATTCAAACACATTTTTAGTTTTTGCTATTTAAAAAATATTTCAAACATGGCCCTGGCCAGTGTAGCTCATTTGGTCAGCCATCGTCCCGTGCACAAAAGACTGCTGGATCGATTCCCAATCAGGGCACATTCTGGGTTATAGGCTCAATCAGTGGTAGGGGGTGTGCAGGAGGCAGCCGATTGATATTTTGATCTCACATTGGTGTTTCTCTCTCTCTCTCTCTCAAAATTAATAAAAAATATTTTTAAAAAATATTTCAAGTATGTGAACAAGCATTAATAAAAAACAAACACATTTGTGCGAATCATGAACTTTGTCAAATCAAAACATTTTTCTTTCTTTTCTTTAGATACTATAAAGACCACTGAAGAACTTTACAATTTCTATTCCTTTCTCAATTTTTCCAAAGTAAGCACTTGATTTGATATCTATTGTTCCCACTTATGTTCTTATACTTTTACAACACACACACTTATCCTTAAACAGTGTGTGGTATGATCTTGCACGTTTTTAACTTTGTATAGATAAATACTATCATACTGCATGCAGCCTTTAACAACTTGCTTTTTTTTTTTTTTTTATAAAATATATTTTATTGATTTATTCACAGAGAGGAAGAGAGAGGGATAGAGAGTTAGAAACATCGATGAGAGAGAATCATCGATCAGCTGCCTCTTGCACACCCCCTACTGGGGATGTGCCCGCAACCAGGTACATGCCCTTGCCCAGAATCAAACCCGGGACCTTTCAGTCCGCAGGCCGACACTCTATCCACTGAGCCAAACCGGTCCCGGCTGACAACTTGCTTTTAAGCTCAACATTATTTGGGGGGTTTATACATATTAATACATGAAATTATAGTTTATTCCTTTAACTAATAGTTTTCAATTATATGAATATGCGACAGCTTATCTATTCTCCGGTTGATGGGTAGTTAGGTGGTATCTATTTTTCACTCTTCTGAAAAATGCTGCAATAAACATTTTCACATACCTCTCCTTGTACACGTGTATCTCAGGTATACAGCAAGCAGAGGAAATGCTGGGTTGTAGTATATATGCCTTCACTTAATATAGAAGCCATTTGTTCTTCAAATGGACTGTACTGGTTTACAGGCCCCACCAGGAGCCTATGACATTACTCCCTGCTCCACCTTCTCACCAACAGTTGGTACTGTCAGGTATTTTACTTTTGGCCAATCTAATGGGTATGAAATATCTCATTTGTATTTTAATTTGTAGTTCCTTAACCACTAAGCAGGTTGAGCATTTTGTAGTCTATCTATCTGCCATACAGTTTTCCCCCCTATAAATCATAAATTAAATTGCATCTTTATTTTACTGTACTCCTTTTTGGTTACAGCTAGAATTGCAGTGGAAATTATTTCACCCTATTAGCACTATCATGGAACCACATTTCATCCTTGGGTGCTGTCTTCTGTCTTATTTCCCCTTTGGGTGCTCTGAGTTCACATCTCAGCACAGATCACATGCCGATAGGTGCTCACAATTTATCTAACCACCAACGTGAATGACCACCCAGGGACCAGCAGTGGGAGGTTCCCAGCCTCAAACCCTGAAGACTAAACGTGATAAGGGAAGGAAGAGAAGGAAGGCCCTTGGAAGTTTTCTCAGCCCTTTCAGAGATGAACGTCAGTCCAGTAAGAAACAGAGGCCTAGGACTGCTTTAAAGGCCATTCCCTCTGGGCACAACATCTTCCCATAAGGTTATCCAGTTCTGGGAGGGAAAGATTAGAGTTGCCAAGTACAAGACAAAATAACAAAACTGAGACCTAATTCTTGATCTACTGAAGGACATTGATAATGTCTTCTTATTCCTGTACAGTTGGAAATATTAAGAATACTAATTTAAAACCATGAGGGGGGGAAGTACCCTGCTTTAAATCTTTTCTGAGTTTATTTCTCAGGCTTCTTGAAGAGAGTTTATAGAGTCTCCTAAGTAATTACCCATGTTGACCTCAATGCATGTATGTAACAGAAAGGAACTGACATGAGAAACTGAGGGGAGACTCTTCATGAGCCCACTTTGACAACAATACAGTAAAAATGGTCTTTTCATAAATAAATCTGAGGTCACACGAGGGCAAGTTACCTGGGCATGCTGACTATTCGGTGGGAATCTCTCCTTCAGGTGCTTTAACACTTCGGAAGCTGCAGCGAAACAGCCCTAAACAGAGACAGGATGTGATGAGCACACCGTGCACCACACCTGCTGCACCGCGGGCAGGTGCCCGCAGGATTCACCTTCCCTGGGGCGGCCAACCAGACCTGTCCCTGACGTGCCCAGTGCCCTTCTCGGGCTCCTCAGGAAAGAACTGGCAGAGCCTCCCTCGCTCCAGAAGCCCACCCGCCTGGCCACCTCCTACCTGCTCCGCGTGCAGCTCTGCGAGGTGGCAGAGCGCGACCGCAAACGACTCCGTGTTGTTCTGCTGCACGCCCGCGTTCACCGACTCCAGGCTGTTCATGCTCAGCAACATCTGGGCTTGCTGCAGCGCCATGGTGCTGGTGAGGGGACAAACAGGGGCTCCGTCTATCAAGGGACCCAGGCTGCTCCCCCCCCCCATCCCGGGCTTCTCTGGAGTGGGGAAGGAAGTTAAGCAAATGGAGGGAAGTTAAGCCCCACTGTAAGTTCGTCTTTGTGGGAACAGCTGCCTCCCAGGAAAGCGGGAAAGCACCCCGAATTGTTCAGCCTCAGGGGAAATGCAGTGGTTATGGCACAACAGGGAGCTCTGAGCGCCAGGCACCCTCCTCCCCATTGCCTGTGGTCACGGTGTATTCATTCATTTTCATGGGTAAATTCAGGCCCGATGCCATCCTGGTACCAGCTGCTCCGGCAAGTGTCTGATGTTTCAGACCACATCGTGCCAAACAATGATCTCACGTACAAAGACAAGACTGGCCATATAGGCACTTCCTTTCATTATTGAATTCCTAAAAATAACAGTCTGTTTGGGTGAGACGTGAGGTAGTGACAAGACTCCAGGATTAAAAGTCTGGTTCAGAAGTTTACTTCCAAGCTAGAGACGCAAAATGGAACTTAAACCCAAGGCTGGAGATATTCCAGAGAACACATCTTGGGGTTCAAAGGGTGCTCCACTTGAGTAACCATGGCCCATGCCCCCTGCGAACAGAAAGAGGCACTGCCTGCCTCAGTGCTTGAAGTCAGAAGACAACATGGCTCGTGAATGGCTCTGTCACTTATTAACTACACTGTGGTCTGGGGCAGACCAGAGAGATGCGTGAACTTTGGTTTATGCACCCTACAAGGCAGACTGCCAGCCTCCATTCGTCTCTAAAAGGACCCACGCCCCTACGGCCTTAACCGTCTGCCTGAAGACTGACCTGCGGCCATAGAGCCTCCAGATGGCCGTTTTCTGGGCGATGCTGATGTCGATGAGCTCTGACAGGCTGTGTTTCCAGTGCAGGAGGTCAGAGTCCTTCAGAGCATCCATCAGTTTATTTGCTGTCTTCCCAGCGAAAGCCCTCTGCTGAACTAGGGACTGTATGCCCAGGGAGGCAAGGTACTAAGGGGACAAACAGATATACCCGTGACCCAAGAGAAATCACATGACTCATGTTTGTTTTGCTCTTCAGAAATCTGGCACATTTCACATTTTAGCACATGCACAGTGACAATACTATTTAAAAGGAAAGTACCTACAGCCTGGCCCTGGCCCGTATAAAATATGTTCTTAAAAAACAGGCTGGCCGAGACTGGTTTGGCTCAATGGATAGAGCGTCGGCTTGGGGACTGAAGGGTCCCGGGTTCGATTCCGGTCAAGGGCATGTACCTTGGTTGCGGGCATATCCCCAGTAGGGGGTGTGCAAGAGGCAGCTGATCGATGACTCTCTCTCATCGATGTTTCTAACTCTCTATCTCTCTCCCTTCCTCTCTGTACAAAATCAATAAAATATATTAAAAAAAATAAAAAATAAAACAGGCTGGAAGAGAGGCTGACGGTACACTGAGAAGAGCCAGGGCTTTGACATTAAATGGACCTGCACTTAAACACCACCCTACTACTTCCTATGTGACTTGGGGCCAGTCACTTAACGTTTGAGCCAAGCCTCAACTTCCTTGTCAGTAAAATGGGCATCCCAGCCATCACAAAGAACTGCTATGAAAATTAAAATGAGTTAACAGGGCAAACAGTGCTGGGCACATTATGTAGCAGGAGATTAAAAGAGGATGCTTATTATGAACATAATTTATTTTCTTATAAATAAATAAAATCATAACTTCTGTCATGATTTTCAAGGATGAAAGCTCAACTAGATACAGCATAAATCCACAACAAAACTGTATTTAAAAAGTCTCATTTATTTTAAGGAGACACTTTACCACTTACTTTGTCCTTATCATCAATTCTGTACAAGTAACTCTCCTTTCCCAGAATTGAGTCAAGTGTACAATTTGCAGACTTGAAAAGCATATACTTTAAATGACTGCACAGGATTACTTCTAATTTTTCTGGAATTTGTTGCAAACTATATGAGACAGATGCTTAATGCCTACAGCCCAGGTTTCAGTGGATGGTTTTTGAGATGGAATAAAGTTCTTTGAGCAACATTAATCTAGATGCTGAGAGCCATCACTACTTCATGCATGGAGACTATGCCCTTTCAATGTCCCTCAGTATCTATCATTGAGAACTACAATGATAGAGTAGTAAGTAGTCTATCATTCAGGTCCTTCCCTGTCACTCAAACTGAGAAAGGACAAATCTGCCTATTAGGTTTACTGGTTCCTAGCTTTGTTTGTTATTAAAACACGGATCAGCAAACTTGTTCTCTGAAGGGCCAAACAGTAAATAACTTGGGTTTTGCAGACCACATCTGGTGTCTGTTGCATATTCTTCTTTGACATTTTCCACCCAACTATTTAAAAATGTAAAACCCATTCCTAGCCTGAGAGCCACATATGAGCAGGAAGCAGCCAGATTGGGCTCTAGGGCTGTAACATTTAAACCAATCCCTGTTTTAAAAGTAAGCCTTTCCAGAAAAATTTATAACTATATAAGGGGAAGTTAATATGGATCAATAAACTAAAAACAATCTCATCAAATTGATCAATGGAATTGAGAGAACAGAGGGAACAGAGAGAAACCTATCAAACAGAATTTAGTGTTTAATTAATAACTAAGGTCATATGAAACTACCAAGAATAAAACCACACCATTTATTTAAAGTCTCACAGAAAGATGAGCCTTACCGGTAACCCAAAATGCACTGCTTTCTTCACAGAATGCTCTAGCAGAACATAGCTATCGGATTTCTTCTGCCCCAGCACGTAAAGCCAGCTCTGGTAAGAGAAATCATTAAAATATATCCTAACAACGACCTGGGTGATGTTCTATTGAACTATCAGCATGGTTGTAAGCAAGAATTAAAAGGAACAAAATAAATCCTCTAACATACTATTTCATGAAGCATGAACCAAAATGAAGCCCATCAAACACATGAAAATTATCAGACAAGCCAATGATTTTCTTCACCGTTGAGAGCAGTGAGTGGCAAGGTTCTAGAAAAAAAGCATGAAGCCCCCATATGGCCTTTAATTGAAAAAGTGAGTCTCAACGTGATGATTAAATAAATTCTGTGTTCTACATGTGCTTGGTGGTTATGCTTTCACAGGATAACATCTCATCCAGTTACAAGGCTAATGCCAATGTTTAATGTGATAGCTTTGCATGGTAGTTATGCATGGCACGTTGTACTAAAATTTGTAGATAAGATCAAGCCTGGCTGGTTTGGCTCTGTGGTTGAGCATTGAACCATGAACCAAGAGGTCACTGGTTCGATTCCTGGTCAGGGCATATGCCTGGGCTGCAGGCTTGATCCCTAGTAGGGGGCGTGCAAGAGGCAGCTGATCAATAATTGTTTCTATCTTTCTCTTCTTCTTCTTACCTCTCCCTTCTCCCTCCCTCTCTCTCTAAAAATCAATACAAACATATTTTAAAAAAAGAATCACCACCAAAGCCAAACAAACATCGTGAATTAAGAAATAAACAAATATGGGCTGCCTTTCCTGAATTACCATGACTTCCTAACTAGTTGCCCGTCACTAAGAAACTTTGCTCTGACTACAAAACAATCTGATTCAAATCGGGCCTTCCAAAGGCCAACTCAACCCGTGGGCAGAATTCCCAAGGCAGGAGGGTGGCCTTACCAGGCAATGCTGGAGACACACGTGATCGTTGGACTCCTGGGCAATCCTGATTGCCTCTTGCAGGGCAAGTTCCGCCTGTTGACTAAAGACAGACTGAACATTAATATCTCATTAACATCACAAACATGCACAAGTAACGGAAGCAGGAAGACATCTGTACAATAACTCATCCAAGAATAGGTCTCTGCTTTGAAAGCTATAGCTATGGGCTTATTCCCCCAGCAGCAAGAAACATTAACAATGGACATACAGAACCCTCCCCTTCTAAGGTGGATTTCTACTAAAAGGGACATCAAGGAATAGCTTTTCTTGATCTCAGTTGCTAAGAGTTTTATTTTAGTTATTGATGGGCCAGGGAAGAGGCACAGAGAGAATATAATATTTTACTTTTCATTGCATTCTCTTCTGCATTATTAAAAAATTTTTTACACTATAGCATTTGATACTTTTATACTTTTTCAAAACTAGTTTAAAAAGTATTTTGAGGATTATCCGCTTTTGAGATTCCTTTTTTCTGCTCACATGGTTTCCCTCCATCTGTGATGTCTCTCATACTCTCTCAAGTTCTATAGAAATTCAGTCAAATTATTCTTGGCCCCACTGAACTTGCACTTGTGAAAATTCCCACATAAGTGCTATCTGTACCCCACCTTGCAGTGCATAGTTAAATACCACTGTAAACTACTGTTTGTTTGTTGCCTGGCTGATTCTTCAACTCTGGACATTTCTTCCATTAACACACTCTGGGGTCTCTAGTCAAAGATGCCAGTAGCAGCCGAAATCGGTTTGGCTCAGTGGATAGAGCGTCGGCCTGCGAACTGAAAGGTCCCAGGTTCGATTCCGGTCAAGGGCACGTACCTTGGTTGCGGGCACATCCCCAGTGGGGGGGTGCAAGAGGCAGCTGGTCGATGTTTCTCTTTCATCAACGTTTCTAACTCTCTATCTCTCTCAATTCCTCTCTGTGTAAAATCAATAAAATACATTTTTTTTAAAATGATTTACAAAGATGCCAGTAGCAAAAACTTCGTTTCTTCCAAATGGGAAAAAGCCACAGGGGTTGGAAAGACTCTTTCATTTAGTAATTTCTTACCTTTTCACCATTATTCACATTATTTGTTTCCAAAATAGCCTCCATATTTTGAAAGGTTTTATCCACTTAACTCCATTTAAAATAATTTTTTTTTTTTTAATTTCAGAAAAGGGGAAAGGGAGAAAGAAACATTAATGATGATAGAGAATCATTGATTGGCTGCCTCCTGCACTCCTTCTACTGGGGACAGAGCCCTGACCAGGACTTGAACTGTGACCTCCTGGTTCATAGGTCAACGCTCAACCACTAACCACACCAGCTGGACAGTTTTCCTATTTTTATTCATCAAAATCATTGGCATATCTTACCAATGGCATACGCCAAGTGTCATCTCACTGAGCTGCCTGAATTTTATCAGAAAGAACAAACATGACTTTTAATAAGCCAGCACAGTCTTTTATACAGTAAAGGCACAACTTTCTTTTGGCTTTTTGAAATACTGAAAATAGACATTGTATCCTCATTATTATCTCCAAAAAATCCTTTGGGAATCTCTGGCCTAATGACCTAATTATCTTTTAATTCAATGGCTGTCGTTCTTAGAAGTAGTGAGAGGCCATGTACTAAGACAATAATGTTAAATAGACACCAGGGGGCAGACTGTTTAAGGAGAAGGTTTCATAAGCTTTTGTCCAGTGAAAAAGCTTCTCTTTTGGAAGTTACTGACAGGTCTAGTAAAATAGTCAGCTTCCTTTCTTTCTTTCCTTTTTATCCTTCTTTTCTAAATATATTTTATTAATTTTTTTTACAGAGAGGAAGGGAGAGGGATAGAGAGCTAGAAACATTGATGAAAGAGAAACATCCATCAGCTGCCTCCTGCACACCCACAACTGGGGATGTGCCTGCAACCAAGGAACATACTCTTGGCAGAATCGAGCTTGGGACCCTTCAGTCTGCAGGCCGACGCTTTATCCACTGAGCCAAACCGGTTTCGGCTTATCCTTCTTTTAAAATACAGCATTTAAAAAATTCATCTTAATAACATTTGGAAGTTCGTGCCTTCCATTTCTACATGGATAAAAATCTGTAAACTTACTAGTGTCCGAAGCGGCAGTGCAGGGCGGCCAGGTTCAGAGCAGCGTATCTCAAGCTCCGGCCATAGCCCTCTTCCCCGTTACTTTTGCTCTCGGCTCCCGTAAGAATCAGGCGGTCAAAGTAATGCAGGAGGCTGTGTGTAGAACTAAACACATCTTGGACCCGGAGGTTGTTTAAGTAGCTGAGATAATGCTACAATGAGAAACAATCCACATAGTGTTAAATGTTCTACTTCTTATGTATGACTAATTCATGAGTTCTACTGGCTGCAAACATCCATGTATCCTCCCACCCTTCTAACAAGAGGGTCATAGTTTAGATTCACCTGTTCCCAAAGGCAGAATAAAGGAGGTTCAAGATACATTGGTTTCTCACCAGGAAGAGTCCCCAAATGGAAAAACCGGAGTTCCATTAGCACTTGTGTCAGCATTTTATCCTAAATATACATCCACTTTGTCACTGGTTATATTAGGACCCATGTGAGGGTGGGAGGGAGAACTCACTTAGCTCAGGTATTTAAAAAGTTTACTGAGCCAATTATATCCTATGTTGAAACTGTTTTTATTTTTTTTGATTCACTGAATTAATCCCCCTATAGCCCTAGCCAGTTTTGCTCAATGGATAGAGCGTCAGCCTGTGGCCCAAAGAGTACCGGGTTCAATTCTGGTCAAGGGCATGTACCTTGGCTGCAGGCTCCTCCCTGGATTGGGCCCTGGTCAGAGCACATGCAGGAGGCAACCAATCGATGTGTTTCTCTCACATCGATGTTTCTCTCTGTCTTTCCCTCTCTCTTCCACTCTCACTAAAAGATCAATGGAAAAATATCTTTGGGTGAAGACGAACAAAAAAATAATAAGAATAATTTCAAAATAAATAAATAAATAAATAAACAAACTTCCCTCCAAACAGGCAGATCCCAATTATTAGGGAACCAAACGTATATCTTTCTATATGTGGATAAAGTCAGGTGTCAAATCCAGGTTTGGGGGTAAAAATCCATTAAGGAATGGTATGATTTTTAAACTTAAAAAACAACCACACACACTGACAAAAGTAGGGAAAGGAACAAATTTTTAGAACCCATTTTTTTTTAACTGATTTTAGAAAGAGAGAGAAAAAGAGAGACAAAGAGACAGAAATATCAATTTCTTATTCTACTTATTTATGCATTCATTGGATGATTTTTAAATATATATATATATAGTTTACTGATTTTTTTTAGAGAGAAAGGAGGGGAGAGGGATAGAGAGAGAGAAACATTGAGAATTGAGAGAGACATCCTTTGGCTGACTCCTGCATGCCATCCCCCTACCCCCACATTGGGAGTCAAGCCTGAAACCTGGGCATGTGCCCTGACCAGGAATCAAAAAGGGAACCTCTTGGTTTATGGGTTGATACTCAACCACTGAGCCACATTGGCTGGACTCATTGGTTGATTCTTGTATGTGCTCTGACCAGGGATTGAACCCGCAACCTTAGTGTATTGGGACAATACTCTCCTAATAAGCCACCCAGCCAAGACAGGCCTGAAGTTTTTAAAAACTCAGTCTACTCTGCCCTAGCCAGTGTGGCTCACTTGGCTGGCTGTGATCCCATGCACTGAAAAGGTCGCCAGTTTGATTCCCAGCAGGGAACATGCCCATTGCAGACTGAATCCCCAGTAGGGGGCGTATGGGAGGCAGCCAATTGATGTTTTGCTCTTACATTGATGTTTCTCTCTCTCTCTCTCCCTTCCTCTCTCTCTAAAAATTAAAACAAACAAAAACTCAGTCTACTCTATATTTCATAATTCACAACATCAGAGAGATGATGAAAGAAAGAGAACATCACTAGACTGAATGAGTGGGAAGGGCGGTTTTGCTCTTAGTGAGTGGGAAGGGCAGTTTTATAACCTAAGCTGGGTTGCTCACCAAGAGCATGGATGGGTCCTCATTTGTGTGGCTACTCAACATAACAGTAGCTTTGCCATTATTTTTTCAACTCAGGAACAAATTCTGGAGAAGACTCACCGCTTCAGCAAAATCAGGATTAAATTTCAACAAGTTGTTCAACTCTTTCTGCAACGAAGCTGGAGGGAGGGCCTTAGTCTCGTCATTCTTTAACAAAGAGGCCTGAAATTGAAACATGACAACTCAGTAGAAAGAAACATATGGAAATGTTATAGTCATAGCATCAACTGGTTATTTTCTTTTTTTCAGCTACTCTCTCCTCTTGACCCTTCAGAACATTGTTCCTCTTCCTGAAACAGTCAGCCTCCCCATCCACACACTCCCCATTCCCTATCCCCTCACTCCTCCCATGCAAATCCCTGCTCAGCCTTCCAGTCCCAATTCAGACTTCAGCCACCAGCCACCTGCTTCTATCACTGCCTAGGCCAGGTAAGGTCCTACAAGGACCCCTGTTCTAACCCTTCTTGTAGTTCCTATCAGGACATATTCCAAGTGCCAGTCTGGCCTCAGTCCAGACAGTGAGCACCTTCACAGCAGGCATGTGCATCTCCAGCACTGCAGAGGGCCGATGGCACTTCGGTGCACCACGTCTGGTTAACTGTTGCATGAGAATGACATTAAGCAACGCTTATATAAGATATGCAGAAAACCAGTTTCAAATTAAATATTAGTACTTAACTGGGTTATATACACTTATTCAATTCTACCTAGACAAATTTTTCTTTATAAGTAATAATAATTTTTAATTCCATTTTAATTCATTACATCATTACAGAAGATTCTAAAACTATTGAAAAGCATACAGAAAAGAAGTCATCTGTAATCCTTCCACCCAGAAAGAACACTATTATTAATTCTTCAGTGTATCTTACTCCAGTGCATATTTTTCCTATGTATGTATATATGTATTATATATATGTGTCTGTATACATACATACACACACCATATTTTTAACAAAGTTAAAGTACATAATTTTACTTCATCCTCTTTTCATTTAATGATATATTACAAACTTTGTCTCATCATCAAGTAGTCTTTACAAATATGATTTTTAAAACAAAACGATTAACCCTTTGATTGTCATATTTATTGCAAATACTTTCCCCATTTTGTTGTTTGCCTTTTAATCTTGTTAGAACGTGTTCTGACATGCATTTTTTATTTTTATGCCAAAAAAATCAAATGACCGTCTCCTACATGTTACTTCCACAGCTTTTATGTTTAGAAAGTCTTTCCCCATCCACAAACCAGTTAAAAGTTAATATTGTAGTTCCTTCTAGTTTAATTACAGCTTTAAATATTTACATTTGCCCCTTTTATCCACCTATTATGTACTAAGGAGTGAGGACAAGGTGAGGATCCAGCTGTATTTCTCCTTGATAGCTAGACAAGTTTTTCTTTCTTTTATTAATATATTTTTATTGATTTTTCACAGAGTGGAAGGTAGAGGGATAGAGAGCTAGAAACATCAATGAGAGAGAGACATCGATCAGCTGCCTCCTGCACACTCACTACTGGGGATGTGCCTACAGCCAAGGTATATGCCCTTGACCAGAATCGAACCTGGGACCTTTCAGTCTGCAGGCCGACGCTCTATCCATTGAGCCAAACCGGTTTCAGCTAGACAAGTTTTTCTAATTTGTGTAAAATTCATCTGCAGGCATGTTCCTATCACTTTTATAATAGCTAGATCATTACATTTTTTTCTGCAGAAAGAGATTTAAGAACAAAATTAGGGAAAACTAGAAAAATCTAGCAAAAAATCAAGTCTGCTTGAAGATAACATGGGAGAAAAATGTTTAGCTTATGTTACTGAGAAAAAGAGAGTATGACTTAAAACCATCAACAAAAAATGTTTGAGACCAGAAGTTGAGCGTCAACCTATGAATCAGGAGGTCAGGGTTTAATTCCCAATCAGGACACATGCCTGGCTTGTGGGCTCAATCCCTAGTAGGGAGCGTGCAGGAGGCAGCCGATCAATGATTCTCTTTCATCATTGAAGTTTCTATCTCTCTCCTCTCCCTTCCTCTCTGAAGTCAATAAAAATATATGTTTTTTAAATGTTTAGGATGAAGTACACTGATATCTGCAACTTGAAATGCATAAAAAATAAAATAAAATAAATGGTGGCCGGATAGAGGATGGGTAGATACGTGTTGAACAGAGAAAAATATTAACTGTAAAATACAGGTGAAGGGTATATGGATATTCACTGTAAAATGCTTTTCAATTTTTTGTTTGTTTGTTTGTTTGTTTGAAAATGTCCATAATAAACTGTTGGGAAAAGGGAAGTACGTCTTCTAAGTCATGTTTTTTGGCTATGTTAGTCATGCACCATTATTGAATGAACCTGCATAACTTTAATCAAAAAATGAAACTACAAAATAGGAAGTAACAGCATTGTTAGTGAAGTAAAGAGGGCCGAGAACAAGGGATAATGCAGAATTACCAATAAGCCCACCAACGTAACAGGCATATGCCATGACAAACTATGTCAGACGATTTTTTTTAAAGTTCATGATAAATTAAAGAATTAACATACCTGTTGAGAAAGAAAAAACTCCGCTTGTTTTTGGGACAGAGGCCCACTGCAAGATACCTCCTCTTCTCTACAAAATATAAAACAAAGGTAATCAGAAATACATATAACATATCATAGCAAAAATGGTAATGCTTACAAAGTCAAATAGATTTTCTTATCAGAAGAGTTAAGACACTTTTTAAAAAATTGATTTTAAGGAGAGAGGAAGGGAGCGAAAGAGAGCGAGAGCGAGAGAGCGAGAGAAGCAATGATTTGTTGTTCCACTTATTTATATATTCATTGGTTGATTCTTACATGTGCCCTGACCGGGTATTGAACATGCAACTTTGGCACATCAGTACAACACTCTAACCACTGAGATACCTGGCCAGGGCCAAAAACTTATAATTAATTCTCTCCTCTCAGGAAGAGAAAAGACATACTTAAAAAGTGATGTTGAATAACCTGACAAAGTTCACAAATAAAGACCTAAATTGTATGCAGCTCTCAGCAGATCTTTCTAACATGCAAATCTAACACGCTATCCCTGATTTGTAGCCCTTCAGTGGTACCCTATCACCTCCAAAATAAAGTCCACACTGCTCAGCGGGGCAGGTGCAGTGCTTCATGGGTGATCCTACCTCCTGTCTTTTTCCTTTGCCTTCTCTTTGTCACCTACACCCCAGGCCTCATGAATACCTTACAGGTTTCCTGTCATGACAAGGTGTCCCTGCTGCTTCCACAACCTGCAGGGCCCATTTGCCCACCTACTATTGGACTAATGGACACCATCCATCTTTCAAAATTACTAAAGTCACAGCCTCCAAGAAGCTCTCCTGACATTTCTTATCTGAGCTCCCACTGTCTCCTAGATGCTTATCATAGCACCTATGCACTGCCGAGCTGGGCTGTTCTTCCCTGCATTTGTATGTGAATACCCAGGGCTATACGTAGGCACACTCAGATTTTGGGAAATAAATGAATGAAAAGTTTCTAACTCCATGCTACAGAGTCAAGATGGTGTTGTATTCAAAAGCAGGAAAAGGAGGCTTCACCGAAGAAATAACCATTTGCCGAGAAGCTTAAACAGAACTGATAAACAAGAAATGTGCTAATATAAACCTAGACTTGGCAAATCCATACACACACAGTATAAAACAACCTTGTTTTGAGGTCAAAGAATAAATATTACTCATTTATCACTAAAGAAAGTCTTCTCTATATAGGATTACAATAAGTATAAAATCAGTATTTGCTCATAAATAGTATTTGTATAAGCACTCTGTGTCAATTACAGCTGATCTCAAACTGTTTCATGCAAACTATATGTAAATGGATATTCTAGAATCTTCTGATCCGTAGTCAGATGCGTTATCCATTGCGCCACTGGCCCAGTACTAAATGGATATTCTAAGAAAATTCTGAGGTTAAAGAATTTGAGGAAAGGTGTACATATCCTATCTTGCTTGGAGATTCATGATACACATTAGAGAAATCCAGCAGAAAGAAACTTTACTTTTGCTTAATGTACCATTTACCGACCTCACTTGCACAAAGGATCCTTTCCTAGTGTCTCTCAAGAATTACTAGCGTGGAGCTGCAGTGGCGCAATTGGTTAGCTCGAGGTATTTATAAGAAGCACTAGAACCCACAGAAAACACTTTAGGCCCTAACCGGTTTGGCTCAGTGGATAGAGCATCGACCTGTGGACTGAAAGGTCCCGGGTTCGATTCCGGTCAAGGGCATGTGCCGTGGTTGTGGGCACATCCCTAGTGGGAGGTGTGCAGGAGGCAGCTGACCCATGTTTCTCTTCCATCAATATTTCTAACTCTCTAACCCTCTCCCTTTCTCTCTGTAAAAATTCAATAAAATATATTTTTTTAAAAACAAACACTTCAGGAAGAGCTGCTCTCATATTCTCCTAATTTCATTTCCAATAAATATTACCTAACAATCCCCAAGGCAGTGGATCAGCTTTTGCAAATATTGGTGCTGCCAAGAACCAACCCTGACCCAAGCCTAACAAAGATAGGTGACATAGTAGTGACCTAGAGGGAAATGGAAAAAAATTTCACAGGCCAACTTCTCAAATGGAAAAGAGTTAAGTGTCTGGGCAATAAGCCCTTTTCTCTTAACATATCCCTTAAACAAAATAAGCCCAAGGTTTGGAATAAATATAGCTGAACACAAAAAGGCTAGAGACAGATGAGGATCCGAATGAAACTGGACACACCACCACTGGTCCCATTCTCTCTAAAGTCCATGATACTCAACAGTACCAAATGATTTACTTACTTAACCCCATTCCCCAAAAAAAGATTTAGGGTAGCTTTTAATAAAGGACACAGAGCAATACATGAGAAGAGAAAAATGGCTACAAGCGAAAACAAATAAGAGTTATTATAAATGAAGATCAAATTTGGTTCTGGCTCCACATTGGCAATGGTGGCCGACGTGAATGAACAAGCTTGGGAAGAGCAAATAAAAATTTCCTGGCCCAAGCCATCCTCCACTGACCCTTCCTTTGCTTCCTCAGAGCCTCACAAACACATGGAGGAGAAAGTAGCCTTTAGAAGCAAGAGGCATTCCATTTAGAAAAAGGGCTCAAGTAGACCTTGTTTGCGAATCCAATTATAGCTCAGACAGACTTTTAGGCTTACTAGTACTATAACTCAAGGGCACTTAACCTGGATTCATGGATGGGCTAGGAGTCCACAGACCTTGTAAAACTGCTTTTTTTCTGTCCAGTGGACAGCACGAACATAGCCCTCCGAGACCACAAATGATGCGGTCGAGTTTCCCACATTTGGGGAGACCACAGGGGTCAGCACCTCTGGAGTGCAATGGCTAAGCCTCGCCCTGGGAAAACCACCTTCATGATCATGGTACCTTCCCTGCCAGATAAGAATGAATGTACATGTTTAATGTGGAGATAGTACAAGGCATTCATCAGATTCTTAAAAGAAGCCTGTAAACTGCTCTAAAGGGCTCAAATCTACCACTATAATTGGAAATTTTTAAATTTTACATAGGATTGATCAATCAGTAAGGATTTCTTGTTTGTTTTTTAAAGTATGTGCAATGCATAAAACACCAATCAAGGCCCTAGGGGGAGAAGGACAAAAATCTTAATGGTCTACAGCAAACATGTCTAGTCTTGGTAAAGGCTAGGATCAGCCCAGGTGCAAAAATGGTAGTAAACAGCTGAAACCGGTTTGGCTCAGAGGATAGAGCGCCGATCTGCGGAGTGAAGGGTCTCAGATTCGATTCCAGGCAAGGGCATGTACATTGGTTACGGCCACATCCCCGGTGGGGGGTGTGTGCAGAAGGCAGCTGGTCGATGATTCTCTCTTATCGATGTTTCTAGCTATCTATCCCTCTCTCTTCCTCTCTGTGAAAAATCAATAATATATATATATTTTTTTAAAATGATAGTAAACAATAAATGTCAAGGATGAGTATGGACTTAGAAAAGGGAAAAATTACTCTAGCCGGAGTGGTGAAGAACTGGAAAGTTGGTAAGGAGTAAGGAAAATGATGAGGAAGAAAGAAGGCATTCCAGGAAAAGAAAATAAGAGAGGCAGAAAGGGAAAAAGCCTGGGGGCATACAAGCAGACCTGGCTAGTTGGGGTAGCAGTGTTTTCCAAAGCGTGGTATGCATACCCCCAGGGGTACGGGAAGAGTCTGGTGAGGGTACGCGTTGCACCGGAGTTTGGTGGAGATATGCACTGCACCGTGCTTAGCTGCGCCTAATTCTACGTTCTCATGTGTACAAGGGGTACTCAGCGTTACGAAAATTACAGAAGGGGTACACATATGTCAAAAGTTTGGGAAACACTGGAAAGGATCCAAGCCGAGAACAAGAGGTAAGATCAGAAAGATCAATTGTGGAGGCCTCAAACACCAGGTGGGGAGAATGTGTGGAACCTCTGGAGATTTCTGAGTGATGTAGTGACAGGTCAAAACCAGGGGCGGAGAGACTGAGACAGAGAACAGTTACTAAACGTCTAAGGCCATGAGGACCTGAGCCCTTCCCAAGTGTGTGACCACCCCCTCCTTCTGTCTGTCCCTCCAATATATGTCCTGACCTGGGGGCTCTGTGTCTGCCATGTGCTCTGGCAATTCTCCTCAGGACTCACTCCTTCATCGCCGAGCTCCCCGTCTTCTAGAGACCTTCCCTGACTGGCCGATGTGGCTCAGCAATTGATTGCTGACCTATGAATCCAGAGGTCACAGTCTGATTCCCCGTCAGGACACATGCGGGGGTTGAGGGCTCAATCCCGTGTGGGGGCGTGCGGGAGGCAGCAGAATGATGATTCTCTCTCATCATCTATGTTTCTCTCTCTTTCCCTTGCCTTTTCCTCTTTGAAATTAATAAAAATATATTTAAAGAGAGAGAGAGACCTTCCCAAACAGCACCCCACAGTCATTTTCTATCCTTGTGTCCTACTTCATTTCCTTACTGCACAGACAGTCTCTGAAATTACACTACTTCTTCATTTAGTTACCTACTACCTGACCCTCCCACCTAACTTCACGAGGACAGGAACTCCCCCTTTTCGCTGACAGCACAGCCCCTAACAGTGCCCGGCACACAGGAAGCACTCGATAAGTATTCGTTGAACACATTATTGAATTTGGGAGATTTATATCAAATCTCTGGCAGGTGAAGCAGTACCTGAGAATTTCTGCTTATAGGTGGGGTCCACTCCGCAGCACAGGGAAGAGCTGCTTACAGCAGCGTGCAGACTAGCGGGCTCCACTGCAGCTGTAATCTTATCAGCCTGATTTCTTACCGCAGGGCACAGAGCTGCCCCTTGGCAACAACGAGCAAGTGAAAAGCTGAAGCTAAACTTCAGTTTGCACTTCCACAAATAAGTGGATTTTCAAAAACACCGGAAAAATATTTATTCTCTTCCTTCTAAATTGCCAGTTAGGTTTCCACTTTTTATTTTATTTTTTTTAAATATATTTTATTGATTTTTGTACAGAGAGGAAGGGAGAGAGATAGAGAGTTAGAAACATCAATGAGAGAGAGTCATCGATCAGCTGCCTCTTGCACACCCCCTACTGGGGATATGCCCGCAACCAAGGCACATGCCCTTGACCGGAATCGAACCCGGGACCCTTCAGTCCCCAAGCCGACGCTCTATCCATTGAGCCAAACCGATCTTGGCAGGTTTCCACTTTTAAATAGGAATGATTTCATTTTAAGATGGGAGATTTGTAGGCTATTCAATATTACTTTCTCCTTTTTAATTTTAATACAAATTTCTAGGGCAAGAAAAATAATTTCCCTAAAGAAAACATACCTAAAATCATTCCAATAACTTAAAATAAAATAAAAAATAGAAAGGGCTAAAGTAAGAAGCTTCTGGTAATACAATAAAACATTAGAAAAAGCACAAAAAAATAAAAATTTGAAATTTTCTTTTTTAAAAGAACCAAGGAGTGTATAAAATATACCTCGCAAAGTAAAGAAATATCCCATAACAAGTAAAAGTATAATACTTAATTAGAATAACTTTTAAAGAATATCTTTCATATCGGTGAGTAATTCAGTTTACTAAATATACACTATTTTCTGAAACCATGCACCTTAACAGTAAATACATTTGCTTACATGCAAATGAATTCTTAGAATAGGATAAAAACAAAAAAATGCAATTAGACCTAATTAAATCAGATAAATTTAGGAGAAAACCAAGCCATAACATGAAAAGTCTGAATTTAACATTTCTAAAGAAGTGACATTCTGCTACTTTAAGTTTGTAGAGTAGCTCAAACAAAGATCATACTGTTGCCTGGAAGCCTTCCTTAGGGGACCTAACTAGAAGAGAAATTAAAGAAGAATGGTGAATATTTGTTGAATGTTTGCCACATACCAGGAACATTTCTAAACACTTTATATAAATGTATCATTTAATTCCTACATCAACCCTCTGAGAAGGTGATATCTCCCCCATTTTACAGATCAAGATATTGAAACATAGAGGAGTTGAGTGACTGGCCCACGGCCCCACAGGGAGTAAGGGAAGGAGCAAGGATTCACACCCAGGATGCTGACTCTAGCGCCAGACCCTTCACCCCATACTGCACTGCCTTTCCAAGAGATGAGAAGCCTTTACAAACAACTCTGAGTGAGTGAGGTTTTGGGAGGAGTTAATAGTACTATAATCTCGCTCTCATAACCAGGCCCTGGCCAGGAAGTTCGGTGGATAGAGCATCGTCCTGATACGCGCCAAGGTTCTGGTTTGCTCCAATTATTTATCGTGCTATTTGGCAGGAAAGGGACCCCTGTCCGAAAAACCCAAGTTACCTTATGGACACATCAAGTTCTTCTTTTTCCATTTTTCTTTCGCCCTCTTCTCTGTTGGTCAGTTCCATATCAGCATCCTCCACTGTCTTTTTCTCACCATTTTGGAAGTACTGTTGAAGGGCAGTGTACAGTTTAAACACTTGGCTAAAAGAAAGCTTACTGTAGGCCAAGATCATGTGACGCAGAAATAAGCCTACAAAAGACACAGACAAGGAGAAGGCATTAAATGAAATCGGGATACACAAATTTGATGACTACTTGTTGCACTTCTTCCTTCAAAAGAATAAAAAAGAGACGCTTGAAATTGCTATTCCTTCTACTCCCAGATGTTCTTCCCCACTCTTTACAAATCTGGTTTCTTCTTATTCAGGGCCCAGTGCTCACAACCACACTCCACCATCTTTATCCACACAATATGTTTTTTTCATGACTATTATAACTATATGAAATGATCTTATTTATTTACTTTTTTCATCTGGCCCTACCCTACCAGAATGCCATCCCCATAAAAAAGAAGGTCCAGCCCTAACTGACTTGGCTCATTGTATCGAGCGTCAGCCTGTGGACTGAAGCGTCCCGAATTTAATTCCAGTCAAGGGCACATGCCCAGGTTGTGGGCTCGATCCCCAGTAGGGTGTATGAAAGAGGCAGCTGATCAATGATTCTCATCATTGATGTTTCTCTCTCTCTCTCCCTCCCTCTCCCTTCCTCTCTGAAATCAATAAAAAATATATGAAAAAAATAAAAAAAGAAAGAAGAAGAAGGTCCAGCCCAGGCTAGTGTGGCTCAGTTGGTTCGAGTGTCCTCCTGTATACCTAAAGGTATTGATTCCCGGTGAGGGCTCATTCTTAGGTTGCGGTTTGATCCCTGGTTGGGGCACATACAAGAGGCAACCAATCAGTTTCTTTCTCACATCAATGTTTCTCTCTCTCTCTCTCTCTCTCTCTCTCTCTCTCTCTCTCTCTCCCTCCCCCCACCCTTTTCTCTCTAAAATCAATAAACATATCCTAAAGATAAGATTTTTTTTTTTTTTAAAGAAGGTCCATGTCTATCTTTTAAATCCACATCCTGGCACATAGGAGAGAGGTAAGTTATCAATAAATAACTGATGTTGAATAACAACTACTACTATGAAAAAAAGCCAGGTGGATAGAGCATGGATATAAAGCCAATAGAAAAGCATCAAAAGATGTCACATTTGCCGAAGCCAGTTTGGCTCAGTGGTAGAGCGTCAGTCTGCGGACTGAAAGGACCCAGGTTCGATTCCGGTCAAGGGCATGTACAACGGTTGCGGGCACATCCCCGGTAGGGGGTGTGCAGGAGGCAGCTGGTCGATGTTTCTCTCTCATTGATGTTTCTAACTCTCTGTCCCTCTCCCTTCCTCTCTATGGAAAATCAATAAAAAAATATTTTTTAAAAAAAGTTATGAAATGCAGACAAGTGACCCAGAGCACTATCACTAACAGCTGAGAAACCCCAAGAGCCCTCCCACCCTCCCCACCAGATCAATACCTTGGCTATCATAGACAAAACTTGTCTTTTCCACAAGATAATTGTTTAAACACAGATCAAAATGGCAAAGCAATAAATTCAAATTAAAACTTGTGTTTGTTCAGAAAGCTGCTCACTTCAATGAACATATTCTCTGCTCTCCTCAGAACTTCATACCTACTACACTTGTTTTGTGAACCTCTGGTTCAGTTCCAGAAAAAGAATCTGACAGGTCATCAAAAAATTGTTCCATATCCTTCAATTCGCCTTCAGCCATCAGTTTGATTCTGAATGAGAAAATTGAGGTGCATATTTTAAGTAGGCCCTTTGAACAACTTCCCATGTTTCATATTTACCTAAAATAAATATATTTAAAAGCAATTTAGAGTTTCACATAAAAATGGTGGCACATAAAACAAGTTTGATATCCAAAATGTCACTACCTATTCTGAAAAGTATCACTGCTGATGTTTTCTTGATCATAAAACTTGTTAAAGTAACACATCAGCCAATAAAATTGGAATTCTCTGCAACAATTAAAAAAGAAAAGGTAGCCCTAAGCTAGTTTTGCTCAGTAGATAGAGCATCGGGCCTGCGGTCCGAAGGGTCCCAGGTTCAATTCCAGCCAAGGGCACGTACCTTAGTTGGTCAGGGCACATGCCAGAGGCAACCAATTGATGTGTTTCTCTCACATCAATATTTCTCTCTTTCTCTCTCTTTTCCAGTCTCTCTAAAAATCAATGGAAAAATGTCCTGTGAGGATTAAAAAAATAATTAGCCGAAACCGGTTTGGCTCAGTGGATAGAGCGTCTGCCTGTGGAATGAAAAGTCCCGGTTCAATTCCAGTAAAGGGCATGTACCTTGTTGGGGGCACAGTAGGGGGTGCAAGATGCAAGAGGCAGCTGATTGATGTTTCTAACTCTATCTCTCTCTCTTCCTTCCTCTCTGTAAAAAATCAATAAAATATATTTTTAAAAATAATAATAATAATTAAAAAAAGGAAAAGGTAGATCCACATGGGAAAATAAATTCTGAAGCAGTACTTAAAAAAAAAATTAAACGACCTAAAAGAACAAAGATATCTTTTAAAAAATAATTAATTAACATGTGCCCTTTTCTAAATTTTCATCTATTTTAACTATTTTTCTATCTAGAGAAAAAAAATGTTTACCTGATTTGTACTGAATTTGCAAGCTGAGGACAAGATTCTTCAATTAACTTGTATAGTTTAGTCAGTGTAATATCTGGGCCCTGAGTAAAGGAAGATAGGAAGGTTATGGATAAATTTTGAAGAATGGGAGAATGATAAACAGCAGCAAACATGAATTCATTTATCAACCCTTCTTTTAACAATTCATTTAACAATTATTCCAAACATGAAATCTCAAATCAGAAAGGGGGTAAAAACCTATCTAAAACGATAAAGTAATACTTGAAAATTGCATATCTTAAAATATGTACACAGATAATAATTTAATAAATAAAAAAAATAAAAAAAAGAAAATTGCATATCATTCTCGTTTAGTCAGGGGAATGGTTTAAAATGGGGGGAAGCCGGGACCGGTTTGGCTCAATGGATAGAGCGTCGGCTTGGGGACTGAAGGGTCCCGGGTTCGATTCCGGTCAAGGGCATGTACCTTGGTTGCGGGCATATCCCCAGTAGGGGGTGTGCAAGAGGCAGCTGATCGATGACTCTCTCTCATCGATGTTTCTAATTCTCTATCTCTCTCCCTTCCTCTCTGTACAAAATCAATAAAATATATTTTAAAAAATAAATAAATAAATAAAATAAAATAAAATGGGAAATACATTGAATCTGTAGTCCAAGGATGCATCTTTCCTTCCTTCTTAGTTTTGTAATTACGAGAACTTGTAGCCTCCAGAGCCTTAGTAAAATGGAGATAATAATAATTATCTCCTTTGTTTGTGGCAAAGATAAAGTAAGATAATGCAAAGTGCTCTGTGAACTGGCAAACATTAATCAAATAAAGGTGTCCTATTTTTTCAAAACATATCTCATTTGATCCTTCCCCAAACCTACTAAGATAGGCAGACATACTAAGTGTCCAAGTCCATATAAAGTACCAGTAGAGACAGAGAGTATGTAACCTCTGCTATCAAGAAGACTACAATCTTGGCCCTGACCAGGTAGCTTAGTAGGTTAGAGCATCACCCTCTCATATGCAGGTTCAATCGCTAGTCAGGGCACATTTAATAAAAGCACATATAAGTGGAACAACAAATCTGTGTTTCTCTTTTTCTCTAAAATCGATCTATAACTGAAAAAAGACTACAATCTAATTGAGATTTAAAACTAAACAAAAGGGCATAACACATTTCACTTATTCTACATATTTATTTAGGTGCTGTACTTGGCTTCCAGGGCACTAAATGAAGAAAAATAGAACAAAGCACTGCCCTTACAGAGGTTATAGTGTAGTAGGGGAGAAGCAGCAGTCATATAATCACAAATAAATGGGGGGGAAATACAACTGCTATAGGGGAAGGAGAACACATTAAAATAGCCAATATTGAGTAATTAGTGTGCCACACACTGTGACGTGTTTCCCATGGATCTTCTCATTTAATACAGCCATCCCATGACATAGTTTCTATTATTGTTCCCATTTTGCAGAAACCAGGACCCAAATAGGCTGGAGAACTTACTCAAGTCCCACAATGAATAAGTGTTATAAAATGTGTTAAATGCTTAGCACACAATCGATGTTCACTGTTAGTTTCATGTCATTATTACTACTTATTAATATCCTCTAGGTTGGATACAGAACAAATATGATTCATGTGACACACACACACACACACACACACACACACACACTCAGGTCTACTTGTAGCCAAAAGACCTGAAAAGGTAACTCTTCCCCCAGTCGCTCAGCTAACAAATGCTGGAGCCAGATATGAACCTGCAAAAACATGCATGTCGCCCTAGCTGGTTTGGCTCAGTGGATAGAGCGTCTCCCTGGGGACTTGAGGGTCCCAGGTTCGATTCCGGTCAAGGGCATGTACCTTGGTTGTGGGCACATCCCCAGTAGGGAGCGTGCAGGAGGCAGCTGATTAGTGTTTCTAACTCTCTATCCCTTTTCCTTCCTCTCTGTAAAAAATTGATTATATATATATTAAAACCATACATGTCAAGCACCTGGCCCATAGTAAACACTCATTAAGTGTTAGCTGGTGGCATTATCTTTCCTTTTTCTTTTTTGCGGTCCTCCAAGGCCAAGAGTTAGCAGATGGAGCCCCGTACCCCCAAACCCAAGTAAATGTCAGGCACAGAGCAGGTGCTCAGTGAAGTTTGCTGAAATAACAGGCGCCAGCGGGGCCCCTCACCTGCAGCAGAGGCAGAAGCAGCTGGTTGAGCCTCCGCCGCTCCATGAGGCTGACGGCAGCCTCGCCCGTGCGGCCCATCTCGTTCAGCAGAACCAGCACCGCGATCTTATACGGCGTCACCCAGTCCTTGATGCCGAACACGTTGGCATGCACCACGCCATTGGTCATCATGGGGTTGAAGTAGAGGCTCTCATGGACACTGGCCATGGTGTCCCGGACTGCTGGCACCACACACCCGAGTTCCGGCCGAGACACACCACAGCCCGCCCAGCGCCTCAGCCAGCCTGGGCCGTATCCCTGGGAACTTCAAGCTCGCGGCATGCTGTCGGCCAATCAGAGAAGCCGTATTAGAGCCACAGCCAATCAGAATGCCCCAGAATGTCGTGGAGGGTGGGGACAAAGGCGTTGCACCTACAAACTCAGTCCCTACAGAAACTCTTGCGGAAGGAGAGCAGGTTCCCGGGCGAGTTTGACTAGGACCGAGTTCAAGTGGGTCCACATTTGAGAGCAGGCAACAAGTGTGGGATACATGGGGAGATAAAAGAATTGGGGCCAAAAGTGTAATCTCATAAAGGCAGTCCCTTCTCATCCCCTTCTTAAACCTAGTCCATTCCATATATATATACACATACATATATTGATTTCAGAGAGGAAGGGAGAGGGAGAGATAGAAACATCAATGATGAGAATCATTGATCCATCTCCTGCATGCTCCCACTAGGGAGCCTGCAACCCAGGTGTGTGCCCTTGACCCTTCAGTCCGCAGGCTGACACTCTACCCACTAAGTCAAACCAGCTATGGCAAACCTAGTCCATGCTTAAACCTCAGTTTATTTAGGCAAAGGGAAGATCGGGCCCATGACTGATTTTTGTATGTTTTCAGGTTCACCAAACAATTATATAAAGTAGATACATGGGCTGTCTTAGATTGCTCAGGCTGACATAACAAAATACCATGGATGGGGTGGCTTAAACAACAGGGATTAATTTCTCACAGCTCTGGAGGCTGGGAAGTCCAAGATCAAGGTGCAAGCCAATTTAGTCTCTGGTGAGAGCTCTCTTCTTGGCTTGCAGAAGGCCACTTTCTCATCATGCTCTCATATGGCAGACAGAGATGGAGAGCTCTCTGGTTTCTCTTCTTTAGAAGGGCATTTATCCCATCATGAGGGCCTCAACCTCATGACCTCATCAAAACTAATTACCTCCCAAAGGCTTATTCCCCAACGCTATCACTTTGGGAGCCAAGGCTTCACAATTTATTCCATAGCATAAACTAAATTTAATCATTTCAAATTCAGGATCTTCATTCCTTTTAAATTATTTCCCCCCAAATATCTCCCTCACTTCATATGGGGACCAGCTATGAATAAAACTTCCGAATATTAGAAATCAAAGTCAGAACTCAACTTTGGAGTCTCAGAGATTACAAATTGGAAACATATCCACAGCATTTCTTACTTAGTCTTTAAAATATACCTATTTCCAATAGAGTTGAGGATATAAGATACACTTGATCTAAAGGCTGAAGGATTGATTAATCAGTCTTGTCAAGGCACACTTTTAAGAAATTCAAAGTGATTTCATGCTTCCCAGCCAAAGCATCGGAGGGCATCTTTCCCATAAGCTTCTGGAACTTCTGAGCATTAGTCATGACTCTTTCGTTCTTTATGTTCAGGCTCTTAATGGCCTGGCACCACAAAAGCAATTAAATTGCCAGAGCACCTCTCAAGAATTCTGTTCACTTGAAGTTCTTTGAACAGGTATTTTATTCATTGTGTATGTAGGAGAGACAGGAAGGAAAGATCTTTGGGATCTTAATTTGTGTCAATTAATGAATAAAAGAATGGGCATCTTTAAGAAGAGAAAATGGTTTCAGCCATTATCCCAGAGAAAAGATGAGATTAATTTGTTCAGAAAGTGCATTTAAGAGAGACAGATACATTTTTTAAAATCAGTTTCTGGGCTGCCTACCTACCCTCCACACCTACTGAGATATAGTCCTGAATAGACTTCAAGAAAGCTGTTGTTCAACCTAATCAGTATCGCATGGCAAGAGCATCATTGATATATCTGAAATCATCAAAAGAAATTTTAGAATTCTTCTAAAACAAACATTAAATCACTGTAGGAGAAATTTATTAAATAAAAATATATATTGGAGACTTTAAAACTGAAATTCATTCCTTTTATCAACTTCTTTATGGTTAAAGATGTTTCTGACCAGTGTTGGCAAAATGTATGTATGCCACAGGAACTGTGCAGGAGGAGTACACAAAAATAATAGTGGCTGTCGATTCTCTTATTCACCAAATAGTTTTGTCATCATCTAGTATGTGCTGGGAACTTAGCTGGACACTGACTGGTAAAATAGTGGTAAAAGAGACAAATTCAGCTCAGGCTGTCACTGAAGTCACAATCTAGTTCAGACATAGAGAAGTCATAAATAGGGACAATCACAATAAAACCCCATACTACTAGGATGGGTATAATAAAAAAGATGGACAATAACACATGTTTGTAAGAATGTGGAGAGACTGAAACACTCATACATGGCTGGTGGCAATGAAAGTATTTGGTAGTCCCTTAAAAAGCTAAACATAGATTTACCATATGGCATAGCAATTTCACTTTCTATGGATTTTACCTGCTCTGGACTGGATATTCTATATCAAGATGAAAATTAGATGGCAAGAAACAAGAGATCAAGATCTATACCTCTAAAAAAAAAGATTAGGAAACAGAATTGTCACATTAGTACAAATGAGCTATCAGTAAATACAGAATCCTGTGTACAAATGTAATCCAGTTAAACACCACTAAGCAGAAGTCTATAAAAACTGCATTTATTTGGACAGTCAGCTCTGAGGAATCTTCTCTCTGCATGGGAGGTAATTCTAAGTAAATAAACCAAGAACACCAAGACTTAGGAGGTACCTGCTAACCTATCTGAAATACATTGTCTCTGTCCTTCTGAAGTATCTGTAGTGGGCCTACTATCTTTAAGATCAAAGTCAGAGGAATGGGCCCTGTAATCAGATTGCCTGTGTTTGAATATGGCTCCACCACTTACTGCCATGGGACTCTGGGCAAGTTACTTAATTCTCTGTGCCTCAGTTTTATTGTCTATAAAATGGGAATAAAAATAGTACAAACCTTAGTGATTATTTTAAGCATTAAGTAAGAACATAGAGGTAAAGTGCCTGGGATTTCGTAAATCATAGTAAGTGTTAGCTGTTATTATTATTGCATTTCAAAAAACTGATAAGCTGAGTGACTTTTTTACCTATTCCAAGTCAGTCGCTAGCTTTCTTATTACCTCTAAAATGGAAAATAGTCCAGCCAGCATGGCTCAGTGGTTGATTCCTGGTCAGGGCACATGCCCTGATCAATGATACTTTCTCAGCATTGATGTTTCTCTCTCTCTCCCTCCCTTTCCTCTCTGTAATCAATAAAAATATATATTTAAAAAATATAATAGCTGCCTCCTTCACTTCTGAGACAGAGGACCAAAATAAATCATAAAGGTAAAGTGTTTGAATATGATAAGGCACTATACAAACATAAACTTGTTACTGAATGCAGGGAAAATCATATTTATCTATTCATAAAATCAAATTTTCAAGAATTTCAATTTCCCTAAATCTTGTTTGGCCTATTCAGAGTTATTGCACATACTTGAATGTGCTAAAATCATGCCTCTTTCAAAATTATCATAATTCAGACTTTTCACTAATTCAGAGAGGCATTTTCTCAATTGATGTGATGTGTTGTGATTTTATTTTATATCAAAAAATACTAGTATGGATTTATGCTCTTGCAGGAATATGAACATGAAGATTTCTAGCCAAAACTGACTTGGCTCAGTGGATAGAGCGTCAGCCTGCGGACTGAAGGGTCCCGGGTCCAATTCCTGCCAAGGCCACATACCTTGGTTGCGGGCACATCCCCATTGGGGGGGTATACAGGAGGAAGCATCGATATTTCTCTCTCATCGATGTTTCTAATTCTCTATCTCTCTCCTTTCCTATCTAAAAAATCAATAAAATATTTTTTTAAATAAAAGATTTCTAATGTCGCTCTGAAGAATGGCTTGAACTGTGGTTGTTTTTCAATCTAAGTTTTGATGTTTTGGCTTTCAGATTTGAGACTTTAACATCATACCCAGAGAGCAAATTTCAAGAGCTCTTTTCTTTTGGGTATCACTACAATATACCTACTTAGCATCATGGACAGGTTCTTAGAAATTCAGAGAAGGATATATTATAGAAACCAATTTTACCATAGGCTAATTGGCATAAACAAGAGTTAAGTTTCTATGGCATTTCATCAATGTTATAACAAAAGAATTTGAAGGAAACACCATCATTGCAGGACCTGCAGTAGATGGGGGGGGGGGGGGAGAGAAGCAAGCTCAGGAACCTTTCAGGGAAGAATTTATTTAACCATCTTTAGAGAGAGATAACCATCTTTAGATAGTGGGAAATTCCCAGGCATATGATAGAGTCGGGTTGGCACCACTTTCAGCTATTGGACACTCCTATTCGTCAGCCACAGTAATAGGCACATGACTCAAGTTAGATCAATCAGATTGTTTCTGGATATTTGCTTGAACTGTTTCCCAATGAAGAGGCCTGAGAAAGTATGTGGTCTCAGAGTAGGAGGCTGCTATCTGGAGACTTTAGTGGGAAAACTGGCTTGAAAATGGAGTTCATATGGAGAATGTGTACCTGAGAAATGGGGAGAAATAAATTGTGCCCCAGTCCCAGTGTGAGTGCACTAGATTAAGCTTGAGCCGAAACCGGTTTGGCTCAGTGGATAGAGCATTGGCCTGCAGACTGAAAGGTACTGGATTCGATTCCAGCCAAGGGCACGTACCTTGGTTGCGGGCACGTCCCCAGTAGGCGGTGTGCAGGAGGCAGCTGATCAATGTTTCTAACTTTCTATCCCTCTCCCTTCCTCTCTGTAAAAAAATCAATAAAATATATTTTATAAAAAAAAAAAAAAAAAAAAAAAAAAAAAAGCTTGACTTAAAGGGGCCTTTGCTATTGGGAGGAGGTGTTGACTAAACAGAAACACTTCGGCCTGTTTGGTCAACCCACTTTTTTTATTTTTTGGCTCAAGCATATTTGGACCAGTTACTTGTACCTAAAGGATCCTGATTCAGGAAGAAAGAATGTAAAAGCCAAAACAACCAAGATTTTATCTTAATTAATGAGAAATACACTAGATTATAATTTAAAATCAAGCATGACTATTTTGTGTGTTGGTCATGCTCATATTTCTTCAATCTT